TTGCTGGTATAAGTGTTTTTTATGGCGCAAGTCTTTGTTGTATGTTCGTATAGCATCTCGCACATATTCAAACTTGGTTTGTGGCGCCTGTGGCCCCAGTAATGCTGAATGTATTGCGATCATAGAAAAGATGTCGTGAGTCACTTGGCATGCTCCTGACTTGTTAGTCACGTGAGTATGTTAATGATAAAAGTAAGGTTTTCTGCATTTACGTTAGGTGGCCTTTGTTTGATCCACAAAATTGGCGCATGAAAATAAGAGTTTTTTCTCACCACCGCTAAATGTTTGGTTCCGGGTGGCGGTGCAACAAATCACGTGGTACCGTTCTAGAGCAGGCTACTGGCTTCTCATAGAGGGGTCCATAAAAGCACATTGATTGATGACTGTATGGCCTGAAGAAAATGATTTACGCAGGCGTTTTCTGAGCGACGAAGGTGCAGCTTTTACACTCCTTTTTCGTTTCGAAAATGGACGAGCACGCGAGATCTCATTGCCCTTATAGTCAATAAATCCCCTGCGGTTTTTATTTTCATACGCGAAAATCGACGATCTCCAAAGAAAAAATAGATCGACGAGCTCTAAAGAAAAAGTAGAGGGTCTGTGAACAGGCTACGAAGGTGCTTGCTATTATTTTAGTGAACTTTACAAGAGGTTTCAGGTGACTATGCTAACGTCATGAAAAGTCTACTTAGCTTGTTTAAGTTTAGGTAGGGCAAGAGGAGGAGATGGGTAGGTTGGTACACATACAAAAATTCAAGTCTTTATCACTCCACTTAGAGCTAACAGACTTTGTTTGATCCACAAAATTGGCGCATGAAAATAGAAGTTTTTACTCACCACCGCTAAATGTTTGGTTTCGGGTGGCGGAGCACAAATCACGTTGTACCGTTCAAGAACAGCCTACTGTCTGCTCATTTAAAAGGGGTCTGTAAGGGCACATTAATTGATGACTGCGCGGCCTGAAGAAAATGATATACGCAGACGTTTTCTGAGCGACGAAGGTGCAGCCTTTACAATTCTTTTTCTTTTCGAAAATGGCCACGGACTTCTCTCTTCGCTCCTCGCTGCTAGGCGGTCGTTTTTGCCTGAGGGATACCACCACGAAGGAGTTTTAGCACACAGGTCTCTGCAGATGCAGACCTAGTGAAAAGGGCATCCTCCATCTGAAATTTTAAATCGATATGAAAGGCTGTTTTCAGCCTTTTCTCTCTTTTCCGTGCAATGTATTTGGTTAAAAGATGATAAGTAAAATGGCTCAGACATTTTAAAGCATTTTTTCATTTAGGCGACGGATTTTGACGTTATGAAAAAGAACTTGTCAGTGAATTGGTTTATTTTCTAGCCTGCGAACAAGTGCCAGGGGGTGGTGGCGGAGAGAGCCAGGTGACTATTCCTTTTTTAGGCGGGAGCTAGCATGTACGTGCATTCTGGTCCAACACCATAATGTGTAGACTGGCCTTTAAGGGGCGGGAGATCAGATCGTCAACAGCAGGTTGAGGTCTAGCCAGAAGATACCCTTGCTGCAGAGGAGCAAAGCAATACTACTTTCAGTAATTTAAACATGTTAAATACTTGTATTTCGCTCATCAAATGTGTCCATTGTCCATTGTCGATTTGTGGTTTTTCAGGAATGTTCTTTTGCGGAGCATTGGACAATTTTTCTTAAAACAGGTTTTTACTCGTTTCCATTTCCCTGCTCTACCTTCATGCTGCATATGGCGTACGTGTGTACCTAAATCCCTCAATTCATACTGAGGTCATCGATAGAGAAGTCTATACGCTAAGCGAGTTTAAGATTAGTTTATTGAAAGCAAAGGCTCAGAAGGCTAAGTGCAATGAAAAGAAAACTAGTGTGAGTTTTGCAGACTCGGCTTACTCTATTTGTTTTCTTTCTCTGTTTGAGTGTCGGCTTGTGTATCCTAAAACCAAGTTTAGTTCGACCTGTTTTGGGGAATATAAAATACAAAAATAATTTTAAAAAAAACAGTGTTAATTGCCATTTTATTTTTTCTTGTACACTCGTGCGATGATTTATCCTTGTCTGTACAGTTGCGTGACAAGACTCAAATCACACACGGGCTTTCATCACGCAACACAGGGTTTAGTCCGTGGCTAAACGACGGAAGATTTCAGTAAACTGCGGCCACTAGCAGTTGAAACGACTGGTAAGTAAATTCTTATAGATCTCGTATCTCATTTAGAGCTAGCAAGCCGTGTTTCTAGCGGCTTTATTTTAGGTGCAGAAATATTTACACTCAACACGAAATTAGCAGCGTTGTCTTTTTCAGCTACTTGCGTGCAATCAAATGCAGTGTTAATCTACTTAGTTCTTTTTTATTACCATCAAATTGAAAAGTGTTTTTCAAAAGATTTTAAGAGCTTCCCGTAATGTGCCCCTTGTCAAAGAAGTTAAGTTTGCAAAAACGTTTGTGTCCTTACACTTGCGGCTAGTTTGTTGCAGCGTTCCAACGTGCGAAACTACCTTGCACGTTTCGGTATCTCAGCGACGCAGTTTTGTAATGCCGCCAAAAATTTTTTAACACAAGAAACGGCAAAGGATGTGCTTTAAAATAGTGTTTGTTTCATGTTGAAATTCTATGTACCAATTGGGTTTTTTCGATGGTGAAGTTAGGTCAAATTTGCCTTTTTTGTAAAGAGCCGAAATCGTGTTTCTTCTTGCGGCCGACAAAGTCACATTTAAACAGCTTATCTGAAGATAATTGATGAATTATAAAGTACAAGTCTGTGTTTGCTTTGTGACTTGATTTCATTCAGAGATATCATCCCGTTTTTATGTACGAGCGCGAAGAAAATGCTTAATTTTCGCTAATTTCATACTCGAAAGAGCGCCGATTAAGCGTTTTTCAAACTTTGCCCGATTCAGGAAAAAATAAAAAGCCGTTACAAGTTTTAATGTGATTTTTGAAATAAGTGTACTATAGAGATTATTTGGGCAAAATATGAAGAAATTCAAAAATTCACGATTGTCAACCGATTTTCGAAAATTACAGACATTGGCTCTTAAATACAGATCTGCAATATTTGCCTCGACGTTTTGCCCAGTCACGAAAAGTCGGTCCGGAATTTTTGAAGTACGATGCTTGGTTCCATGGTATAACTTGTTAATGCAAAATGTTCCGTTCTGCCCGAAATTTGTTAGTCATAAAAGTTTCCAGTTACTCATGTCGTAAAAGCAATCTAAAATAAAGCATGCACTGAAACCGGAAAAGCCCTGCAAGTTGAAATGGAAGTACCGTGGTCTTAAGGTGGCTCGATACAGTTTTTCAGGGTCAATACCTCCTAGGTTGAGCATAAACTACGTCGCCATAAACAAAGTTTTGGAAAAACTGCCACCACAGTTGTATTAGATAAAGATGAAACTTTGTTATGATCAGGGTTGCAACGGCATCGGAGTTGTCATAGCAACGAAATGACGCTATTACCTATTTTACTTGCAGCAGTATATCTCGGCACTAGGAACTGTTCTTCCAAAATCGTTCACGGGAGCTTTTTCCTCCAATAGCGGCCTCGATGTTTGTGAAGTTTAAGCGAAATCTGTAAGAGCGTTATCGAGATATTTTGGGATGAAGTTTTTATGGTTAGAAACACAGTAAAAAATGGACAATATAAATGTTTGGCCGTTATCTGTAAAAAATGAAGAGCTTTTGACCTGCAATCTCACCTCATAGTAGTTTCAATCTTTCAATCGAATAAAAACGATAATAAATAGGTTAATTGACATTAAACTTAAAATTTGTGCATTACTTTGGAGGAGTGACTGTGGCGGGGAAATCTCCGAGTGGACCCGGAAATAAAAACTGACCTGTATTAAGTGGTCACCTGAGTGATCGCAGTCACCTTTTCCGTGGTCCAAACGAGTAGGGAACAAGGGTGGCGCAGTGGTAAGAGCACTCGCCTCTCACCAATGTGGCCCGGATTCAAATCCCGGCGTCGACGCCATATGTGGGTTGGGTTTTTTGTTAGTTCTCTCCTTTGCTCCAAGAGGTTTTCTCCGGTTTTTCCCCTTTCTTCAAAAACCAACACTTCCAAATTCCAATTCGATCTGGAACGCACGGACACGTTTAAACGAGTTCATATGAACTCCTATGTGCTTCGTGGGTAAAAAAAAAGCGAAGCAAGCAAGCAAAGCAATTAGGTTCTTTTATTGTCTTCACCTCTATCAAATCGTCACTTTGGCAAGATGCACTATACGAGTAAATAAAACTGTATGTGGCGTCTAGTGTTCCTTTACTTTCGTTCTTTTCTTACAAGAAGAGATAGAAACAGTTTGAGGTCAATTTGTCGAGGGATATCATAGATATTTCGCTCTACACCATCTTAATGGTCTTGAATGACTCTTTGTTTTGTCACGCCTGTATTAAACGGTTAAGCCATTCCTAAAAGGTGACCGTCGCTTAATACATATCCGTTTTCGAATTAAAAACCCGGATTTGGATTTTAGTATACCGTAGAATTCCGAAAAGAAGCCCCTCCATGTATAAGCCCCTCCAAAGATAAGCCCCCCAAACTGGTAACGCAAAAAACCCTACGTTAAATCGCCCCTCCAAATATAAGCCCCCCGGGGACTTGTACTTGGAAAATTGCCCTCAAATACAAAGTGAAACAAAAGAAAAAACGATAACTTTACTTCCAACTATAAGGCTAGCCCAATAGATTTTGAAACGCAAATTTCCCTCCGTAGATAAGCCCCTCCAAAAATAAGCCCCTCAAAAAGGGCCTTTAAAAAATATAAGCCCCGGGGCTTATTTTCGGAATTTTACGGTAGCTGGGAGTTTGATGATTATTGCCCAAAAATTCTACAAGAAGTCAACGAAATGATTCTAAAAAGTCACTTTATTCCCCCTAGCTATAGATGTATGACAAAAATGAAAACCGTTAAAAACACTGAATCATACGCGATAGTTAAAACAGTTTCAATGACTGACATAAAGCATATATTTACAAAGATGATAATAATTAAAAAAACCAAACACACACTATCATGTACTGCTCAATCGCCGTCTTCTTGACTTCCTTGTGCCCTGTGATTCCACACCACGCGATTTACCCCCATTGGAATTATGTTTGTTTGACGCATTTGGATTGACATTTTCATCATCTTCGGAGTCCAGTCCAGTAGAGTTTTCTTCCTCTTCATCCAAGTCAAATAACTCGATGCTATCTTCGTCGTCACTTTCAAAAACAGGCATCTTTCGACGCCTTTGATTGGTCGATTTTGCTTTAGTAGGCTTCGGCGGTCTGGGTGCGTTGCCCGGCGTTCTAAGGGGCATGGGACTAGGTTCGTCGTCGCTATCTTCCACTGTTTTCTTCTGTCGCTTTTTCTTTGTTGCCGGTGTTCGACCTTTCTGAGCCCGGTTTCCTTTTCCTACAGAGTAAAGTCTGGCTGATGAAACTTATTCAAAAACAGCACCAAAAAAGGTAGACCGAGAATTCAAAACTAAACAGGACAATTATCTTTTTCGCCAAACGTTAACGACTTTGGTAACGGAACTTTGTTCCTCAATCGTCAAACCAAAAAGGTAAAGTCACGTTTCAAAGGCCAAGTCGAATAATAGCGTTCTCTGTCAACCAAGGAGGACGAATTTTTCTCCGCGGAAAGTCAAGTGTAAAAAAAATGCGGTTTCAAAAATATCTGGATTCGAGTGGAAGTGGCCTCAGTGAACACAAGCTTCTATGTAAACAGTGCTCGACTTTCAGAAAAAAATTTTGGGGCCAGCTGGCCCCCAAGTTTTCATTTTTGGTCGCCAGAACAAGTCTTCTAGTCGCCAAATATTATATTTAAGAACTAATGGAATACAATAAACTTAACATCTTTTACTTAGCCTTAACAGAAAAAGAATGCTTTAGACTTCCTGTGAACTTTCTTTCGAACGGTTTTCGCTCGAGGCTCGATTACCAGCCGTTGAACCCGTACTCAGGCGTAAATCTCCTCAAACAGGTATTAAAGCAATGGAATACACATTTAGATAAACAAACTCTAGGAATAAACAAAAACTTATTTGAGTTATTCAAGAACAAAATCTGCAAAATTTGTTTTGCGTCCCATGTATTTGCACGTTCAGAAATGAACATCGGTGAAACTTGATCTATTTCGCGGTTGTGTAACACGTGATCGAAAGTCTCTTGAAAGAGGAAACGCCGCTAATGTTTTCGGGCAAAAAAGTTGATTTCGCGAGAAGTCTGTTAGACATTCAGCATGAATTCAACGGTACTTCATTACAAGTCAGTAAAATACGGCAGAGCTTTTATTTGGGTCGTCACGCTCAACAGAAAGTTGTTTACAAGAAGCTCGAGAAATAACTGAGCGCCGTTGGCTCTCGATTAGCTTAAGCTTTATCAGACTAATCTGCTATCGAGTCCGAAAATCGAGAAACATGTTCGACATATTAAGAAACTGTTTTAAATCGATGCGCTGAAAGTCATTCCCGGAGAAACACGGGACGACCTGTTGAGAATTGCGATCGATTTGCCCGAAAGTCGATAAGACCTCCGTCGAATTCAGCACTTGGGATTTTCACAATCCTCTTTCAAGTAAAAGTCAAGTGTTAGACGGACCATCTGTTAGATCATAAGAACAATCCTTTAGAGTGTTGGAAAAAATCGTTAAAGCGTCTAAACAAATCGTTAAAACGCCTTTTAAACGAACCGTTAAAGCGTTTGGGCAAAAGGTTAGAGCGTTAGAAAAACCGTTAACTATCCGTTAGTTTTGTAAAGGATAACAAATTATCATTAGTGTACGTTTTCCCAGAGAAGAAAGTCACCTATCTCGGAGGCCAGGTTGGCGACCAGGCGTGAAAATTTGGTCGCCACTGCGTAAAAGCTGGTCGCATTGGCGACCCCACAGGTCACAACGTCGAGCCCTGGTAAATCATTTAAAACACAACCTTGTGTTAACCCATTTGTTAGGAAAACAAAGTGAAATTTTAACTCTCCAGAAATTGGTCATTTTACAGTTGTGTGCAGAGTGTTCTGGTCTTGAGAGGAGCGGGGGCTGGAGGTACTTGAACCTTGTTTTGATAGAAATATGGCCTTGCTCCACCGCTATAAAACGTCTACGGCGCTTTTTGTTTTAACTGGTGAGATTTTTACGGGGTATTGGTAATACTGTAAACATTTCACGGTGAAAGTAGCAACCTTAGATTTGAAGGTCTTTGCTTGGCCTTTGCAAATATCTCTTGTTTGCGTCTGTGAATGGCTTTGCAAATATTAAGATGGTTAGCATAAGGTAACATCGGCTTAAGTCAGATTGTTTCTTTCAGTAAAATTACATGAAGAACAACTTAAGTCCAACTTTACTGTGTAATATAAAAGTGAAATAGAAAAACTCCACTGTGATGCTTTGAACCTGGGTCACTTGCTTTATAACCTACATCCATATCCACTACACCATCGAGGACTAGCTGTCAAATCCAGTAATTTTCAAAATATACATGTTCTTATATATGCCGTACCCCATTACAATATTTGAAAGCTAACCGTTTTCTGTTCAGTGCTTAACCCTAATCATTGCAGATCAGTGCTTAACTCTCTACTGTGTTCTCTCCATAACTGGCGCCCTGTAGTTTTGGTTTTTTCAGCTATTCTAGCCTCATTCTACATTCCAGGCTCGTTCCATTATGAAAATAATGCGTTGTGTAAAATTCATAAGGTGTCCAAGCTGGCTTCATGTTCTTATGCATACAAATGGTAGCTTCTATGGAAACAAAGTCAATGCCAGCCTCGTTTTCAATCAGAAAAGACTATGTTACTAAGCATTCAACCATACGTTGAGGGTATTTACCTGCAGGAGTGTTGACGCTTCTTTTAGCCTTGTTAGAACCAGTCGCCGCTCCTAAAGCTTTGGATGCTCGTTCATAGTCCTCCTCGTCCTCCATGCCTTTAGTGTGACACTGACTGATGCGCTGCTCTAACTCATCTACTAAAGCCTGATGGAAAAAAACAATATTCGGCCTCGGCTTATAACGCTTACCTACCTCCACCTTGATTATTTTTCCAGATATCACAAAAACCGAATCTAACAATTGCTTTCTATTATACATTGTCTTGAATAAAAGAACGACAAACACACCGTTGCACGAAACACGGTTTGACATTGCTCTTGAAAATCATACACTGCACGTCCAACCTACAGATTAGTTAGTTACCTGCTAGCAAATAACCAACTCATCTGTAAGTTGAGCTGATTTCCAAAATTGACTGTAAGCTCTTAGCCAATGAGAAGAGAGATAGGAAGTATAACAACAAAAATTATCTTTATCATTGCTATGTATATATCATTTATCCCTGAACATTTAAAACATCAATACTGAGCGGCCCGTTATGGTAAGCTCACGATCTGAACAATCGTAGAGGACCGTGAACAGTCTAAAGTAACAAGTATAGCTGTATTTTCATAACAACAAAACCTAGGTCTACCTTGACTTCTGGCTTGGCAAATTTCTTGCTCTTCCCTACAATGGCCAGGAATGATTGGTAAACATCTTCCTCAGCTAACTTATCGTGGAAGCACGCAAAGTTCTCCTGTAGCTTTCGGATTCCTCGCTCATTATACGACAGCATGGACAAGCAGAATGCCAAGTCACGCCATTGACGCTCAGTTCTAAATGAACACAAGAGAATAGGTACGCTGTGAAAAAAAAAAAACTCACTTCAAGAAGAATCTGCTCTTTTTGTTTTGTTTTTGTTTTGTTTTAATTTTTGTTGTTTTCTTATTTTTGGCCTTGTATTCACACTGAAATGAAGAACAAACAAGAACAAGTCAGATTTCAAAAAGTAAACGGGTTAAAACAGAGGTTAAAAAAGGTTGACGTCATAGCTATAATTATACATGACATATTAACAAGTTAAAATGGCGAGACAAGGCGGTGTTGCAGTGATATGGGCATCTCCGCGTTTTGGGCATCCCCTTCTCATATTATCTTAGCGATTTAGGTTAGGGTTAGGGTTAGGGGGATGCCCATATCACTGTGACAGCGGGAGTATCGCGAACTGGCTAGTTTGAATATCCGAGAATAGCCTGGGAAGGAAAACATATTGAATTGAGCGTGGAAAGAGCACTTTTTGTGTATTTTATGTTTACATGAAACAGAGGATTTCGAAAACCTAATTAAGCTCCACTTGTTCAAAAATTGGATAGAGCAAATAACCGGATAAATCGCTATCCAGTGTTATCCACCTTTTATGTGTAAACTTACTTTGTGGCTCGGAATCTATGGCACAGCTTCTCTACAAGACTCTCAGATTGACGATCTTTCTGGATAAATGACAAAAGGTACCTGGAAAAAAAAATTAGCAGATAAAGGTAAGAGTATTAATATGGATGGTGAAGATAAGTGATACTCAGAAAGCCATCCCAACAAAAAAACGAACTTGTTTCTTCTGCTGTTTACTACAGGGACACTCACAGCGTCTCACAATAAAAGTATCACTTATTTCTTTCTTATAACTTCGTTTACTACCCGGTATTCAAGTAAAATAACATCAAAAACTTACAAAACCAGGGTGCAAAGAAAGTCAGTTTCACAGATTAAATGTCGAGCAAGCTGTAGCTAGCCCGAGAAGTCGTTTTAACTAGCCCATAGAAAATTTTGTGACGAGCAGGTTGAATAATTAATTGATCAATATAATTTGTTAATTAAATCATTCGTTAATTTATCAATTCAGTATAATAATAAGTGTGATAATTTCCCTTTGTCAGATCAGTTGCAGTGAAAAAACAGCTTTTGATCGACATGATTTAATCAGGAATTAATATTAAACAATTTGCCTTACAGTAGTTACTTCCGTAATTTGAATATCCCCAGAAAACTTCACTGAAGTTAAGAACAGTCATAAATCGTCATAGCTTTAATTCTAGTTTATCTGTTGGTAGAGCATACGAGCCCTAAACGGCCCCTTATCTTGGATTTGCGCTATGGTCCTTCTTACAAATAGGTCCGGTTAATGGTACAACAAGGCAATAAACTGTAGCTATACCTCATAATATTTCTGAAGGGTTCTTCTTCAATTCCACAATCAGGATCCGACAAGCGGCTTATCACATCTGGAAGAATGTTGTAGATCGCGTTGCCCTAACGTTATAATAAAAAAACAACTTAGCTTAGATCTAGGAAAAGAAACTAAACAACTAAACCGCAACAGGATTAGCTCAGTCGATAGAGCGCTTAACTGCTGATCGGGAGGTCGCGGGTTTGATTGCCGGGGCCGGACCAATTTAAAGGGCCTGCAGACAGGCTTGACCTTTGCCTGACGCGGATGATATGACCACGTAAAATGGTGGTCGTGTCTCCGGTAGAAGACGTAAAAATAGTGTCCCCAATCAGGTACTTTCGTGCTAAATACATTGACACTCAAATAAAGTGTGTTGGCGTCGTCAAAATCCAGGCAAAGAAGCAAAAGATTGTTTTGTTCGTCAATTATTTTCTGTGAAATAATTCCTAAAGTTTCGACCATAAGAACGTGATACGCGGTCCGGATTGGTGGTAGAAGAACTTTTTTAGTATCAAAAAAATTGTCTCAGAAACTTTCCTGTAAAAGAAAATACAAGATGGACGCAAGTTTTCTCTCATTTTCCTTCAAGTACAAGAAACTTATCCTCGCTTGTCGCGTGTCACAGCTTATTCGCTCATTTGTCCTAAATCGCGCGCTCGCCGCCACCATTTTCCCTTTCGTAAATGGTCGTTGCCATTTTTAACGATCGATGCCACCAGTGGTGACCAAGCTAGTCATGATAGATGTAATATATTCCCTTGGATTAAGTTACGATAAGGTAAATAATAAGTTTTGAAAAGAACGACGTTTAAGCCCAAGTTGAATTTTCGTTAAAAATTATGGAAAAGGCGAGGGTCCCCTGTTATTGATGGAACAGTTAAAAAAGACAGATTTCTAGTTTATGTACTTAAATTGTTCGGAACTTTGGCGGGTCAGTATCTGGTAGTGTAGTGATAAGGGAGAGAGATAAGGGACCAAAATGTTTGGGTTCGAGGTCTGGGTTAGACCCAGGGTTGCGATTTTCTTTCTTTTTAATATAAACATTCTCAATAACAGGTCAAAAATTTTGTGCCTTAAAAATGGCAGCGACCGTTTACGAAAGGGAGAACCGCCTCGCCGCAACAAAATACAGGGAGACTTCTGCCAGTCGAGTTAGCTAATAAACTAAACAAACAGAACGTAGTCTCCACGAGCAACAATTAACAGAAAAAAAAACAATTGCATTGTAGCGGGTTCTCTGGTAAGCGAGCCTAAGAAAATGCAGCGCATGTTCCCGATAGTTACGTGATTTTGTTTTTCGATTCTTACCTTCTTGGATAATTCCAGAAAGAACAGTTTGGCCAGATCAGATATTCTGTTGTCCTTGTCTTCCAAACACGTGGCCATCTCACTTATCTGACCTTTGACCTTGACCATGTCGTTTAGAATCAGATGCGTGAGCACCATTAGCGTGTTCTTACGAACGTGACCTGACTCGTCACGCAATCTGTCAGATAACATACAAACTGCTGTCAGTATTTCAATATGCGAAGCGAAGGTGGCGGGAATATATTTGTTAGAAACAGATAAAGCTACCAAAAATTAAGACAGAGTACAAAACGTATTGATAAAGATCGAAGGGACAACACACTGCAAGTTTGGTTCACTGATAATTCTAGAGCGAGAATGCATAAATCGAAATGCAGTGCGAAAATGACAATACAAAGGGAACGTTACACAGAGTGAGACCCGGAATTCTTTCAATTAACTTTTGTCAAGTGTTATTTTTTGGAGTGTGGGCCTACCGCGAACAGTGTGTGCATTTGTAAGTTTAACCCGGGATAACATGATTGAACAATATATTAACACGTTCCTCGAAACGCCGCGGCCAAATGTTATCCAAACTGCTTCTCACTGCTGCTTCGAAAAATTTCGGATCAAACGAGATCCAAATCGTCCCTCATTGGATTATCCACTCGACCTAACAAAATCGACCAATCACAAAATAAAGAAAAGAAAATGGACATAAAATAAAGAAAACAGCAAATTCAGATGACCTCTTAGGAAACACGCAATTAAAACTGTCTTTCTATGATTGGTGCATTTCGATCCTATCGTCAAAAAAATGTGAGACGTCAATCATCTTAGCGGACCTCTTAGGAAACGAAAGTTTTCTTCAACGGGTTCAAAAGGTCATTGTTTATGATTTGTGATTGGTGGACTTCGATCCGTTTTTTGAGTTTCTGTGTTTCAAGGTTCGTTGCTTGTGATCTTATTGTGACCAAAACCCAACGTTAATATTCCAAATATTTTTGATAGATTTCATCCCTGGACTTCAGACTTCCAAATTTCGATGAGGCAAAAATACTGAAGATTCAGATTAACTTTTGAGATCGTAAAAGTGCGATTAAGTGCCGCGTGCTAGCTGAGCTTTCTTTCCCACATGCCTCTTTAATACCTTGTACAAGACGTTCGCATGGCAGACATTTGCCTCGCTTCGCTTGTTTACTTGCCTTGTTTACGTTAGCACGTATTGCGCGCCTATTGCACATTTGCGTCAAAACAAGCCGTTTCCATTACTCTATTTGGGCCACGCCCAAATAATTAGTATTTGTGTAGCAACAGGCTTAATGTAGGAACAGGGAGGAGGGGCTAGGATGTTTTGGGAAATGGCTTGTCCATTTGACTCCCACTCCCATGGGTTTCTTTTGACACGCCCCAATACACGTTTTAAAACTTTGTAAATTGCCCCTACAGTACGTTGTCTTGTGAAACGAAAACATCTCCAACTGTTAAAAGACACAAGATCAAAATAAGCGTGGACAGAATGGTCCCAAATTTAAGAAACAAGTATTGGAAATCGGCCGAGATTTCATAGTCGACCATCAGAAATAATCAAATTGACCTAACCGATCGATCATCAATTATAGACATTATAATCGGAAAAATCTACTTATGAGAATTCCATTCATTTTTTAACTGTGTTAAAGTAAAAGTATTACACACAAGTTTTCCTATAACACGCACGATCAATGTGAACGGAAAAACCCATAAGAAACCAATAGCGCGAATTATGCACCTCTGTGATGATGGGTACCGAGTCTTAAAACACGACCAACGAAGTATATCACAAATGGATTATGGCCGCATATTGAGTCCATTAAAAAAATACTAAAACTTTAACAATCTTAATTGCCAACCAAACTATATAATATATTTTTATTTTGTCCGTGACCATCGACTGAGCATCTTCCGCAATCAATTACAGTCGCTCATCGATGATCGATGCACCACTATAAGAAACAGCTTGACAAAACAGCCTACATTTCGCGACGACACCACTGGTTTCTCCGCGAAATGACGTCTGAGAAACGAGCGCAGAACCCGTCGCTACCACATCCAGGCAGTGCTTCTGATTGGTCGTGCCGCGTGGGAAATTTGATTCAACCAATCAGAAGCACTACCCAGATCTGGGTAGTGACGCCTCATCAGTATGGAATTTCTGCGCTCGTTTCTCAGACGTCATTTGGCGGGGAAACCAGTGGTAGCGTCGCCAAATGTAGGCTGTTTTCTCAGGCTGTAAAAGAAACTGTTGTTTAATTCTTCATTTACAAACCTGGCATATAAGTGAGAGGTCCACGGTTCAATGAGGTTTGGAAATCTAAACGTCAGGTCGCCAACTGCTACGATCGTGTTCGCTCTGATTGTGGCTTGAGGAGCCTTTTCAAGGATGGTGAATAGAAGTTGTAGATGTGCTTCGCAAAACTCAGAACTAAAAAACGAAAAAGTCAGTGAAGAAAACACTTTTAATAAGAATTCACCTTCTAAAACACAGAGAAACTGGAGCAAAGAGACCCAATACTCAGCAACTTCTTTTCAGTGGAATCGTTCCACACCGACGACTGTTGACAAAGGCTAATGCAGATAAAGGTAAATGTTCTTAGAAGAAAAATGGCCTTTAAAGAACTTCCACTGTTCATTTCAATGGACGGCCAAATCTGTGCAAGATGTATCATGTACACAGCACGTTTTCACATTTTTGTCCTTTTTTAATGAAACTCTTGGGATATTTGCATTCTTGGTTTGCAACCACGTGACAAGGTGGCCATGTTGGGGATCAATACAACAGAACTTTTTTACGAATAATTTACATGAAAATAGAGTTTGACGTCACCAACAAACCAGCGATTAACATCTCAAGGTAATCTTTCTGGTGTATGAAGGGAGTTAGTAGAAAAGTAATAAAATTTTTTGATGTGGGATACGATTTCACCATTTAGCGTCTTGAATAGGATGTCTTTTTGGACCGGAGGCCTCAAAAAGAGTGTAAAGATTTGCGATGAGCCCTCTAGTCTACATGAGAGGTATCAACATTTTTTTTTCTAAAAAATTTAATTCAATGACGTAGGAAATTTCTTAATTCTGTAAGCAAAACGAAATGAATAAGGGTCATGTTGTCTTAAACAGGGTTGCGAAATGAACCATTTTTGTCTTGAACAGGATCAGGTTTTGAAGGCCTCGGCGGGCACATCTCTACTAAACTACCCTTGAGTGCCTCTTCCAAGGGGGGGGGGAGTGTAACGTACCTGACCAACATGAACTTTGCCAGAGCCAGTGATGCTGAGGCTCGTAAGTTAGGATCACTGTACTTCACAGGATTACTGCAGACACATACTAACAGCGGGCGCAGACTAGCTAACAAAGTACCATCTGTGGAATCCAAAGAAATTGTAGGCAGTTTTATACGAGTTCTATCATTACGTGAGGTGTCATGAAATCTGTTGAAATAACGAATGTGACCAACATCAGTTTTCCTCAAACAATATCGATAGAATGTCAAGAAAAAGGCTAGAAGAATATTAAAGTGATCACCAAAGAGAAAATACTTTCACCTGTCATCAAATTCTTTCAAGTAATTCTTTAAAGGAAATCTATGAATATCAGTCTGGAGAATTTTTGTGTGGATCTTGGGGCTTAAAGAATTAATCAGGTTTTACCGGCTACATTTGCGGTTGTCTAGAGATCAAGAATCGTACATACCAGTAACAATGTCGTGTTCGCATATCTTTCTGATGTATTCTGTCTCTACATCATCGGCTGTTGCTCCAGTAAGCCCTAGTTCCTCCTCAATCGTCTCAGAAGCGCCTGGGTCCTAAATTAGATGGTTCTGTCAGTGAAGGGATTTGAACTGATGTAATTGTGGATTGCAGTTACCAAAAGCATTTTAGGGAATTTTTTTCCAAAACACTGAGAATATTAGCTCAGTACTTCTGCTTCTTTCTTTCCCCGTTTTTTTGGGGGGAGGGGTGGGGAGCTTAAACATTTGTTTATCCCTTTCAGAAGTAATTTTCGAAAGATAGAAAAGACCATTTAAACATAAATTTTTCCCCGCTGTTGTTGTAGCAGAATCGGATACGACTTATCTTTAATCACACTTTCATCAATACCTTTAATCTTAATTAAGCGTTCCAATAGAATCCCGACTATAGGAATAAAAACCGCAATTCTCCCCCTGATGGAGCGAGCATATCTGGTAAAAATACCCCAGGGAAAAAGACTACACCAGGAACGGCGTATTTGCACCTTGCGGAAGTAGCACTTAAACACACAGAGGTGAATTTTGAAGTCCCGGGAAATAGATAATTTTAAAGAAATAACTTAAATCACCTGTAGGAACGTTCTAACGCGGGAGCCTTCTGTTTAAAGTTATTACTACAGATGTCAGCCACTGTAATCAATTTTTACCTTTGTTGTATTAGTGTTCGATTCGTGGTGCGGTCCTTTTCGTTTGTTAGCTTGTTTCTCTTTCTCTTTTTCATTCTCCTCAATCACCTGCCGACGTTTGATTTCACCCAGTACCCCAACGTCCAGGTGAACCATATGACGTAAGGCCACGTGACCTGACATGCTAAGAAACCGAGCTAAAACACCGGCATGACACGTTGTCTGAGGATTACTTGAACGGCCATCGTTATCCATGGTATCGTCGTTAGAAACTTAAAAGGAAGCAAAACAAAGCATAGAGACTTCTATTGACATCAAAAGTAACTATTTCCTATACTCGTTATTTTCACATTGTGCCCATAAATAACCTTTTAAACCCCCTTTTGGGCTCTCGAGTCTCCTCTGGGAATTGCGAGACAATGGAGTCGTGAAAAATTTGCAAGTTTGTCCCTAAATCCTCGGAGTCATGCTAGAATTTTTATACGTCGAACGTGGGCTATTGATGGTTAGTCGATAAACGTGAGACTCTGGTATTAAAGCTCGGAACCCAATAGACTGGAGAGAAAAAAAGGTAAAGGCGGACAGGAGCCAAAGGCCCACACGGCCGGAGCTTATTTCCAGTTTCCGTAGCATGAATTCGAAGCATGCCTGGGAGTATTGCTACTCCCCCCTGGACGGGATGCTTATGCATTGCAGGGTTACCCACCAGCAGTATGTCGCCGGTACCCACTTATCAACTGGGTGAAGAGAGACAAAGTGGAGTACAGTTCCTTGTCTAAAAAAACAACGCGACGGGCGAGGCTTGAACCCCGGACCTCCAGATCCAGAGTTCGAGGTGTTAACTGCTCGGACACACACGCCTCCACTAGACTGGATAGAGCCATAAGGGGAATTGGTTAAGCAGATAAAGGCTAGCGAACTTTTATATGATTGTTTGTTGTTTTTTTTTTTCAATTTTCGTTTGTTGTAACAATGCTATTGCAATAAAGCCGTCTTGGGGTGGGGTACGCACGACCCTGGCCTGAACAGACCCTTCTACTGTTTTTTCAACTTTTTACTTGGAGAAACAAAAATAAGGAAAAGCCGTCGACACTATTGGAAAGAGCACCTTTAAAGCTTGAAAGCGACGATACATCTTAAGCGAGCGAAGATATAGCTCCGCGAAGGCACGAAAATTTACAAACGTTTTTATGGTGGGGGGGGGGAAGTTTGTGCCCCCCACCACACAAACGTCTGTAAAATTTAGCGACTTTGAGGAGCTGTATCTTGGTTAGTTTTCAACAAATCACTTTCAAACTTGGCAATTTTACTAATTTAGAGTCGCTATTTCGAGCTAAAGATTTTTCCTAACTCGTCCATGTCAAAACTTTAGAAAAAAAACTGTTCACAAGTCTACTGCAAAACCCATCATTTCGCGCATTGAAGAGGAGGCCATGATGTCGGTGAAGTTTACCATTACATTTGCGCTTGTTTTTATCGCCGTCGCAGCTTCAACCCAATTTTGTGACTTTTGCCCTTCATTTCATCTGTCTTAGGTCGCTGTTTCAAGGCCATGTCACTTGTCAGAATTTTCCCTTAAAAGTTTATATTTACTAGCCGAGGTAATATCTATGTACAGAACATTTCACTTTTTACCATTCTCTTCCCGCTCTGATGTTGTTTCCTCCTCAGGGTCCACCGTGTTTTCAGATTTGTCCAGCAAGCAGGCTGCTATTTTCTTAATGATGCTCTCAGCGATTGTCTCCGGATGTTCCGCAAGAAAGTAAATCACATTCAGCGCTTGCTCCATCATAGGAGTCCAGTCCGGTTTATCCAGCTTACGAACACCTAATAGATACGGAAATATCACTTATCTTTAGGCCCGTCCAATGAAGAAGGACCATCTGTTCGCGAAGATGTGACTTAACAAAACTAAACCAACAACAAACTAACTGTACAGTCCATCTATTTCCATCTATTTATAAAAAGACTTTACTCAGTTACAACGAGGCAACACTTCTCTGAAACTCAGAATACCAAAGTGACGTTAAAAGAAGCGATTTCGCCACTTTCGTTTGTTTTTTGTCATTAAAAGTTAGACAAACATTGTAGATTAGTCACTCTGACGTCATTTGTACTTTGTACTATTTTACACAATTCTGAAAATGATTTACTCTGGGTTTCCTGTACAAGAATCACTTGTTTAGGTTCCCCGTGTAGAAGCCGAAAAGGAGCCGCGAAGAAGGTTTAACTAGAATGGTTAAAATATTACAGCACCCCAATACAGCTCTGTTTATCTGTGTAATTTTAATACAAGGATAATAAATTTAAAGCTATTTTGTTCCTCACCTGAAACGACAATCTCCGTCAGTCGCTCAAATACTGCGTGGCTAGAAGCGAGTCTGAATGGCTCCTCGGCGCTTAAACCAGGCTTCTAAATAACAAAAGATAAATGGGCCATCAGAAAAACTACAGTTTTTCAAGGAAGCAGTAATTGATCCGTCAATACAGACAAAGGAAATAGGGAGTACGGAGATGCGAGGAGCACAGTCCCCTTCCCTTGCAAAATAAGGCTGGCAAGCAGCTATGTAAACTTATTTAAACAAAAGAAAATTTTCACATCACAAAGAAGGCTCAACTCCTGCAGGAATAGTTTGGAACACCAACAAGGCTGCCGTTTCATTGGGTGTTCCTTGCGGATGTGTTGTGGAAACCATTGTTAGTTCACTTTTGTGTTGTAGTGTGGGTATTTTTCAGTGTCCTTTTAATCTGTTGTATTACGTCAGTTGGTGATTGCATCTATCTGCTGACTGCAGCACCAAGAAACTACCGTTTCATTGTTTTGAAACACTAACCAATATGGCAGACGTGACGTCATATGAAGACGAAGCTGTTTCAGGACCTGTTTACATGGAGGTGGGGGACCCCAGATAGGTGAGGTAACATGTGGCAGGTCACCCCACCTATCACTTAAACGTAATCAAATTGAAATGAGAGATTATATGGACAGACGGGTTACTCCTCCTAAGCGGGTTACCTCACCTACCTGGGGTCCCCCACCTCCATGTAAACAGGCCCTAAGTAGTATCTTGAATGCTACATAATATGTGCGCAATGGAAATATAGAGACAACTAGCGCGTGCTTACGTAAACGTAATCAGAACTTTCTTTTACCTTATGGGTTTTTGCAAGTTTCAACAAAGCTACGCACGTGACACGTGCCAAAAGAAAGTCGTCTTCAGCTCTCGGTCCCAGTCCCGTGGTCACCAACACGTCAATATTACTGCGAACAATGTCCGCCTCTGCTCTGAAACACACATAGCAAAATAATAGTGTTTTTATGGAGCACTACTGTGTGTCAAACTATCACTACAATACTCGTCACGTTTGTTGAAACACTTGTCACGTTACTCCCTCTGCAATTTTCATTTACATTACCCATTGGCAAAACAGTGCGGGACCGAGCTTTGGAAACATATACAGAAGCAACTAGCACACACGGGAAAAAAGAGAGTGAGTCGGTTGAGAATTGAAACCGAAGGAATGACATGAAAAATCCCGCGAGTACTCTCAGTGTCGATCACATGTTAGTCTCTGCATTGCGTGACTCCGGTCCCAGCGGCTGCGAAGGAGACTTATCAAATATGAGCTGGGTATTTTGCAGGGAGTTCAGCTTTACCTTTCCATGAATACTTGGTCTACTCATACAGACAAACCAAACACTTTTTAAATACAAGAACCTTTTCAAGCCTTACCCTGCCAACATTCCCAAAAGCACCAGCGCAGCTCTGCTCTCTTCTTCAGTGGTCTGGGCAGCCTGAAATTAAACAAGGAACAGTTTGCCAGGGACTGAAGTTTTTCTTTTCTGAGTGAGACAAAGAGTGGGAAGGCCCAGGTAATATATTGCTGGTTTGTACGTGACGTCACGGCGGCCATGTTGGTAGAAGCATCTCTTTCCTCTGGGAACTAAACTCTATTTTCATGTAAATTCTATTGTATCGACCCCCAACATGGCCGCCTTGTCACGTGGTTGCAAACCAGAATACGTGTTATTGGCATTGACCAAGCTTGTTCGGTCAAGACGACTGGATATTGGCAAAGTACAAGTACGAGGACAATATCCAGCCGTCTTGACCTCACGCTAGGGAACTTAAGATGGAGACGTTTTCGGGGCGACGGCAACTTCAACCGGACGTGACGTCATGATTGTGAAATATTGCGCATGCTCTTGCTCACCACATTGCCGTCGTGCTCCCGTCGGCGACGTGAAACTGGTCTGTTTGGCGTTGTGGCGAAAACGTGAGTATTTAACTATGATTTCAATCAGGTTTGTTGCGTTTAGCAACCAGAATTTTGCAGATTATCGTTCTTAAATTGTCCTTGTTTTCTTTGAGTCACATTTCAAGCTCGATTTCCAAGTTCTTTTATCTAAACTTACATCTTTATAATGTTTCTATGTTTCATGTCACAGAGTCAAGATCCAATCTGATCCAATATGGCAAACAGCAAACCGTAAGTGAGCTTTACATGGACAAAGTTGTCCTACGAGCCAAATGAAAGTATCCAGACAAAAAGTATGAACTCCGGTATTTTGATTGTGTATTTTTAGCTCACTCTTTTCGTTAGAGTATCGTATAAATGAAACCTATTGAAAATTGTTTAGAATAGTAGGTAATACCACGTACTAACGTGGGAATGCTGAAATAAAGTTGTTGTTGTTGTTGTTATTGTTGTTGCATGCAAGCAAATAAGCATTAATTCTCTTAATTCTTTGTGTGAAGCCATATTTTCCTCTTCGGTAGTCTTACAAGGCGCCGTCCTCCTTAGTTCACTGCGATCTTAATGTTCGAATTTTGGAGGGAAGCGACGGCTGCCTCTGCTCCAGGCTTGCTCTGCCAGTCCGGTCGCCGTCGCCCCGAAAAACGTCTCTATCTTAAGTTCCCTGCTTAGTCAATAAAGGATTTATTATATGGCCAAAAAAGAGAACTTTTTCTTTGAGGGACCAACGCGGGAAATTCCGAGCGGGCAAGACGGGTCCATCTCTCTTGCTCGGGTAGCCAATTAGAACACAGGATTCGCTTCATCTTGCCCGCTTGCAGATTCATTCATATATAGAGGATATTACATGGCCGCGCGGAGATACGAAATTTCTCTTCGAGTGTTGAAAAATATTTCACGAGTGAGCGTAGCGAACGAGTGAAGTATTTCCAACACGAGAAGAGAAATTTCGTATCTCCAAGCGGCCATGTAATGTTCTATTTATTATATAAACACCAATGAAATACCAAACCATTTCACTGAAACAGTTTTTTCTTGCGTAAGGCGCGATTTATTATGTAGCCATAGCAACGGTGATATTTTCACATGTGAAAATATCATGTTTTCGCGCGAAAGCTTACCTGGTATTTCATTGGTGTTTATATAATAAAATAAAAAAACTACATGTTGACAGGAGCGGGGCAGCAACGCCAGGATGGAATACTAAGCCCGCTTAAGCGCTCATTTTCTTATCGGGTGCAATGGCTTGGAATCAACTGTCAAATCAAACGCGTGGGATGGAAGCTCTTACTAGCTTTAAACTTGCGATATCCTAATATATAACTCTTTATCTTATTTTTATTTATGTCTTATTTCTTCTTATTAAATTGTATCTAAATAAATCTTGCCGACATAAAACTAGGTAGTTATGTTTATAGGAGCCGACAGGAACAGATATAAAAGTGCAAATCCTAGTGCTAAGTTATTGTTAGTTAATCACTAGTTTTAACAATTATAGCTTGTAATTGTTACACGACATGTCTGACAACCAGCTTGCTGAGCCATTCACCGTGTTTAAATAAAGTTGATTGAATTGAATTGAATTGAATTTAGCTATTACCAAATTTAACATTTTCTTTGCTTGTAGCCTGAGAAAACAGCCACCACTGGTTTTCTCGCGAAATGACATCAGAGAAACGAGCACAAAAATTCTACACTGAAGACGCGTCACTATCTAGATCTAGGTAGCTCTTCTGATTGGTTGAAAATTTGCTTCATCCAATGAAAAGCACTCACTACCTACAATAATACTCCAATTCACGCCCCTGCTTTAAAAATCAAATCGATATTTTACCTTCATTGTAAATTTCTCCCATAAGAGCTTTATAACAGGGCCGGGGATCAGGTTCTCTTTCATCAGCTCGCTTATCTGAGGAGGAAGCACAGAGCACACATTCAAGTCACAGTCAACTCCCTTTAGAGCGGTTTTCATTTGAGTGTCGAAAAGTAATTGGTTTTGCACTTTCTACACGATGCGATTGGCTTAAAAGATTCGCGCCACCTTTTCATCCAATCAGAAGTAAGACCAAAGCCAATTGTGACGCTTTTGCGTCAGCCACATGTAATTACTTCGAGTTTTGATTGGTTCAATGTATTGTCTGTGTCCTATGTGATTGGCCAGAGTAATTACTTTGGTTTTGGTTTTACGACACTCAAACGAAAACCACTCTATAGCGAACACTGAAGGGACCTCGAGTTAGTGAAACTATTTCTGGGACTTTGGTAAGTCACCGCTTAATAGATGTGGGCTTTATACAGGTTTGAGAGTAACCGGGAAGTTACAAAACTATAACTAAAAGGCACTTTACACATTTTAACACATACATTTGACTTGCCACTTAAATTACAGTTGACGATCTCAAAACATTTGGAGAAAAGGACCAAATATACTAAAATGACAGTCACTGACAGTCTCTACATTTCGTCGCATGTTAAACAGGGGAAAGAATGTAAAAAAACACAACAACCTACCAACTCTTCTAGAGAAGTTAAGTCTCCTATAGAGGCTCCTTGTGTAAGAGCAATCAGGTTTTTTACGATCAGTGCTGTTTTAGACCTGAAACGTGTTACAAAAGAATAAAACATATTGTAGGCTTGAAAGAAAAAGTGTATGAAAACAAAAACGACAATGAATATTCCGCACAACGCCCAGAGGTTAACTCGCTTCATTTCCCTAATCCCTTTTATGACACTACAGTGCTCGTACATGTACCTAGCATTTGGCGCCTCTGGGTCTAAATAAAGCCCTTTGTATGCCTCCACCACGGCATCTCTAACGGCAGAGTCACGTGACCAGATCAACACCAGCATCCTCCGCACGCCGACAATAGCTGACTGGAGTCCAAATTCAGAAGCTACAACAAAGAACTTAATAGACTCATTCACGTCGGAGATGCTTTTAGAACCAAGCAACTGGCACAAAGTAGGGACCGCTTTCTCCATCTGAGTTTGAAAATGCACATAATCCTATAAAGTGAAAAGAAACAGGTTACGGTTAAGGTTGAATCAAGTCCAAGCGATGTAGAGTGTCCTGATTTAAAAAGAAATGAAAACCGTGTTTAAAAAATCAATCCACACAAGACCTTACTTCTAGTCAAAACAAAAGAAGACATTTATCCGTCAGTATTCACTCTTGTTCACGTTGCTTTACGTTTATCTGCTACGTCAGTGACTAGAGTGCTCAAGGTCTTGCGGTTGACTCAATTGTCAACTAAGTGCGGTCAAGAGCGATCTTTGTTCTTTTTTTTTTGCCCTCTCTGTGTTTTTGAGCTTGAGCCGGAAAAACGATGGCGGCAAAAAAAGAGAGAGATTGACAATGTTCCCTCACCATCTGAACACGCAAGTGAAGCGCGACAGACAAAGGGCCGAATGCAAGCGGGAATGTTTAGCGTGAAAGTTGACGAATTCCATTACGGCTAAAGCTCTGTTTAAATGAAAATGCACTTCATTTGAGTGTCAAAGTATTTACCACGAAAGTGCTATTTGGGAACACTATTTTTACGTCTCCAACTGGAGACGGGACCGCCATATTACGTGGTCATCTGAGCCACTCGAAGGCCTCGCCGCTTGCAGTGCAAAGGGAGTACCTTTATTTCTCAGTTATTTTAAGACCCAGAGTATTAGTCCGGCCCAGGGAATCAAACCCACGACTTCCCGCTCAGCAGTCAAGCGCTCTACCGACTGAGCTAATCCTACCTGTTTGAACTCTTAAGCAGAAAAAAAACCCTTCATCTCTGGCTGGTCTGTTCTTAACAAAAGACTTCAGTTGGAAAGTGAAATTACCAGAAAATTAAAGCAGGAGATTAAAGATAATAAACCAAACTTTCTCACCTTCAAAAACTGAACAATCATTTGTTGTTTAGTGATATCGTTCACTAGTCCATTGCCTGGTTGGTTTGTTGAGGAGTCCTGATTTTCATGTTCTGTGGACACTTGAACCAGTTCATGAAGATCAATGTCTGCACCTTCGGCAGCTGTGGTTTCCGTTTCGCCTTCAGAAGCTAAGGAAAAAGAAGTAAGCTAAGACCACTTTCTGTGGGCAGTCTGACGCGCTTACCACACGTCCGACAATATTGCTTCGAGGAGAAAGACGCGCCTGGGAAGAAGGAATCACGCGAGTAGAAGATGATTGCGTCTTTCCTCCTCCCTCGCGAGTTCTGTTTTCAAAGAGTGAATCACTCCTTTACGAAAAGTCAATGGAAGGGGAGGAATGGAGAGCGATGACAGGGCCGGGGAAGTGGATTTAGATTTAAACTCCTAACAACGAAGCAGGAATACGTTGTTCTGACGATGTACTGTAGTCAAGTTGTGCAGGAAACAATAACCTTAAGAAATTATAAATTTTAGTCATCACACTGGAGTGAAAATTCTGAGCTTTGGCCTTGCTAGAGCCCTGTTGAGACTCACGTGACTTGTCACCTGATCAGACTGATCAAGATCGCTGGAAGATTCAGAGATAGACTCCTGGGCTCTGATGTAATAATGAATTCTTTTTTCTTTCCACATTTTGAATCAAACAAAACTAACAACTAACCAAAGAAAAGTGTAAGTTTAGAACAAAATGTAAAACTTACTAACCAAGGAATATTGCCTTCATGATTGACAACTGGTCTTCCACGGACTTTGGAAAACTGGCATTTTCTGCTTTATTACTAATGAAAACGAAAAAACGGGCGAAACCGTTCAATGATTTACAATGTAAGTTGTAAAATTTATAAATGCCACAGCTTTAAAACGGTAAAACATGAGTGAGCCGGTCACCTTTGTTCATCCTCCTGCTCAGAACTCAACTCAGTAGTAGCAAATATGTCACAGTCCGGCCACGTTATCATGGCGGCCTTCAGTACAGCAAGAGCTCTTTTGTGATGACCGTGGTTCAAATTATTCCTGATCTGCTTCAATGCACTAAAGAAAAACATCAAGACTCTTTCATTAGTTATCTTTCTGTAACAATATATATACCGTTGCGTGTTCTCAAGTAACAACATACAGATTGACATTTCAGTATGTTAGTGAATAGTTAGAGACTATTGCGTTGCGTGTACCTCGTGATTGTATACTTGAAATTCTAGTGAAATCGTGATTAAAATGAATCTTTAAACACTTCCTCCATCATATTTTCATATTGGTTATATTAATTAACAATGATGGCAATTAAAAGAAATCAATAGACTTAGAACAATGCAGTCGAAACTAAAGAAGGCGACCAGCCAAAATGCACAGACTTAGTGGTCGTTTACAAGAATCGAACCAGAGGGGGCCTCTTCCACATCTACCTTATGGAAAGTAATTTATTGCATGCAATTTCTAAGTTACGCCATGTGTAGTTCCATGTTGTTACTAAAGTTCTTCGTATATTCTAAGTAGCATAGTGCACACAGTGAACATAGAGATCAGAGAATGCGTCAAGTGGTCGCAAGGCCCAAAACGTGGTCACGGACGTTTAAAGGAGGTGGTAGTTTACTAGAGGTTCCAACTATAAGGCTCTGACTGGGAAAGTTTTGGTGTTTTGGATGAGTAGTCGACTATTGGAGGTGGTCGCTTACGAGAGGTGATCGCACATGGGGAGGAGAGGAGAAACTCATGACTAATATTGATGTTTTCAAAGCTAGAAAAGCTTGATGCGATGCGGCAGTGACAAATACTGTTCAAAATAATATTGGTTAAGATCTTTATAACAAATCGTACACCAGTACATAGCTTCTTTCCAATTAATTTTTCACTGTACAGAGATAGAAATACCGATTCGCCTCTAGGCTTTCACTGAACAGCTCTGCTGTTGAAGACTATCACGGAGTAAAGACAAACGATATGACTGCAGACGAGTCAGGGAATCTCGTTTTATACATGTATTTAGCTTTATCCTCTGCAAAAATGGGCACTGGAATTTTTCTTAGGTTTCCCAACGACTTTCAGAAAAACGTTCCAATACATGCATCCCCTTTTGATGAATCACTCAGCTGTTTTTGTTTTTAGGAGTTTGTTACAAAAAAACTGATGACTTCTTGGGGCGGAGTAGATACCAGGAAAAAAGTGAAAGAATAAGTTTCGTTGTGTTATAAAATTTGCGGCCAACTTATTACTGGGCGACCGCTGACAAAGCTCATATAATCCCACAATGATAGGAGCTACAATCAAGCCTTTCTTACTAGCGCTTACCACCGCAGAGCATCGTCCATATCACCTTGGAATTCAACTGGCCCATCATCTTCATCAATAATGTCTTCCTGATCAAAGTACTCTTCGATAGTAGCCTTCACCTCAGGTTTAATAGCCTCCCATATTTCACTGGCATTCTCTGTTGCAGGTACTACAGGTACTGAGATAAGAACAATACAGAAACTGAAAGTACTAACTATTTGAAGGACCTGTGCAACAAAATGTATCAAAATTCAAACGGACGGTACTGCCACCAAATCAGGTGAAACATCAAAGTAACTGCTCAAAACATTGAAAGAAAGTGTAAATAACACGGCAAATACAAAAAGTAAGGGAGGGGGGAGTAAAGAAGATTGGAGCAGATTACAATTGTGCATGTTTTTCTTCTTTTTTTGAAACACTTGTTTATCGCCCAACAGTTTTTCAAAGTTCATTTTTACTGACGGTAACGATTGAATAAATGCTTGGGAGACATTAGCTTGTTTAACACAAAGCTGTGATGTTGTCATTTAATTCTCACGTTCCACAGTGAATAAGGGCACGTAATTGGATTTATAAACTTAATGAACTAACTAGCCACGACACAGCCTCTTTCAGCGGCAATATTCACGTACAAATTATTTACACTGATCTCTCGTAGGAAATGATATCATTAGTTCTCAGAAACTTTTCTTTTAACCGTTGTTTGGAGAAAATTCATGTTGGTCACTCTTAGTACTTAGAGTTAAGGCAGCACCCAATGGTGAATGGTGATGCACAGGTTAACCAACTTTACCTCAGCAGACCACAGCCTTGGACTATAAGTTTTTTAAATTGACCAATCATTTCAATAGACCATTTCCGATTTTCCTGTTGAAAGTCTCTGTTTCAAAGCGAGGCTATGTGTGCAAATAAAAGAAAGGTTTTGCACTTGGCCTCGTTTTGAAAGTGAGAGTTTTTGGAACTCGGAAAGGACCTATTGATTCTGCATTGACCCAGCCCAGATTACTTAAAACAAATTTTACCTTGTCCATCCTGATCATCACTCAGATGTGGAGCCATTTTCTTCAGTTTTTCTGTCTCCTTTAAGAGATTTTGCTGCAAGTGTTCAAGCGGCAGCTAAAGACAACAAAATCATGAAGGACAATAAATCACCTGTAGTAATAAGTTTATGAGGATAAGCAGTCAGAGTCTGAGTGGTTTGGCATCTTGAACTTCAGATCTGGAGGTGCAAGTTCAAGCCTTGCCAATGTGTCGTTTCGTTGGACAAGAAACTTTGCTCTACTTTGTCTTTCTTCACTCAAGGCCGGCCAGTAACATGAATTGAGCCAGAGGGGGTCTCTCGGAAAAGAGGTCCAGACAGATCTATGTTTTGGCTTTACTGCAAGTGACTTCATGGTAGTAACGTATACATTGTATGTTGTGGTTTAATTTTATCCTTGGTTGAAATTTTATTTTCCTTAGTTTGGTAAGGTACTTTAATGACTTTGAAATAACATTTAAACAAAGGATAAATTCATACACTGTACGTGTAGTTCCATGTCAGGGGTTCCATGTTGTCACAAACATTTCTTCATAAACCATGAGTGGCTTAATATGTGTACATGCAGCAAAAAAAGAGACCACACTAGGTATAAGGTGGTTGCTTACAAGAGGTTAAAAAAATGAAAATCTTTGAAATGTCCGGCCAAGCAGTGGTGACATTTGCCTTCAAGAGGTGGTTGTTAACAAGAGCTTTGACTGGGAAAATATTGGTGTTTTGGATAGGTGGTTCCAAGTAGGAGGTGGTACATGTACATGTAGCTTACAAGAGCTGGTCGCACATGAAGGTTATAGACTGACCTGTGCACCAAATGGGTTACAAATAAGACAAGTCTTCAACAGCTGGATAGCATTCTTGCGTACAATACTGGATTTATCTTGAAGACGACTGATAACCAGCTCCAACAGATGGGGTTGCCGAGAAAGAGGTATAGCCTGCACAACATAAATAATATGGCTAAGAAAATGATGCTGCTTGTTATTTTAAAAACTTTCTAAATTTATCTACATTAACCTGCACAGTAATGTAATACTAAACTTTCCTCACTTTTAAAACCACCTTAAATCAACAAAAAACGTTTACTACACTGTACAATGTTATGTATATACCACTGTATTACAGTAAAAATAAATTATGACCCTGAAGAATTTGCTAGATCCCACCAAAAGCATTGAAAATTTTCATGATCCTTTTCAGACAAGGAAAATTAAATAAATGAATACAAAAAATTCAATGTTATTTAACCTTTTCTTTGCAGAGCTCCAGCCAAATGTGGAGAGCTTTACTTCGGACATAAGCATTCACATCATGAATGTGCTCCTAGTAAAAAGAAAAAGAACACCAACAACTTTAATTACCAACTTTGCATGACAGGTTTTAAATATCTGCCAGAATAATCCGTCCATTTGTTTTAACTGTGGAAAACCAGCAAATTAATAAATGTTATGAACCCAGAACTCTACATAGACAGGGCAGTCACCAGCCTGAGAAATCAGCCAGCTTTGCAGTGAAACCACTCGCCTGCGGCTTGTGGTTCTACTTGGGTTTTGAACATTTTGACATCATTTCCATGGCTGATAAGAGTATACCCATAGGAAATTGTTCTCAATTTGTCAATTATTAATACAGGGTTTTCATTAAGGTTCCTTATAGTAGCAGGAGAAAGGTGTAACATAACAGGAGAAAATTTTAAAAGAGGCTCCACATCTGAATAAAAAAATTAGTTGTGAGTCTAATAAAAACCCTGTTAATATGCACACGAATACATGTACATGTACAGTATTGAATAATTATGTATGTAGCATGATAGCCTTACTATTATCATTTATGGTATCAGCATTGTCTAGGGTGCATACTGTTTTTGATGGATTCAAAATAAATTTTAAGTTAACATTAATAAAAAGACCTTAATGAGCTTTGCATACTTTTCGTAGATATTGTGTAACACCAACCTCCAATTTGTCAAGCAGTTGATCTCTGAGTTTCTTAGCAGCGTCATCCAGATCTTCTTTACATAACACCTTGACAACAATCTCTCCCATGAGACCAAGGATACCATTTCTCATGGAATATGACTGCAAACAAACAAGGGGATTATTGAATAGAGCTCAGCTTTCTAGTGAGGATATTTTTGTATGGTCTAGGCTTGAACTGAGAATATAAAAATTAATGTTGATCATTTGAAGAAAATGAAAATTACACTGTAGTAAGGCTTTAACAAGAGTTGTTTTTTTTTTAATTTTCTTTTTAACTTAAGCGTGTAACACTAAATCACAGTCTAATAATTAGATGTCATGAAACGGCTCTCAGCACTTCAAGATTTTCATAACCGTACCTCTCCATCCAAATGGCACAACAGCACACTAATGTTAGGAATGATCTGACTTGGGACCCGACCAGCAAGCTCTACTAAGAAGTCAGCATAAGCGCGTGTTCCGCTGGTGTCTCTTGCAAGATCCCTGGGATCCATCCTACCAATCTCCCTATAATAACCACAAGGAAACTGAATAATAACCCAGCCACTTTGATAGACAGGCTTAGAGTGTTTTCACATGATGTCATGACCACCATATTGATGCCCCAAACCGATCGTGTGAGAGTTAACTCTCTTTTGTTATGTTATAACTATACTTTTGTTCCAGAAAAATTTGCATAGATGCTGGCCACAAGTGCATGAAAATTCTCTGAAAAAATGTACTTGAGATGACTTCATGGGTTTTTTAAGGGGCACTATACAATGTACCTCCCAAGTTGGAGCTTTCAAAACTATGTTGCCATTAATAAAGACTTGGAAAAATGACCACCACAGCTGTATTAGATAAGGATGTTGTCAAGATCAGTGATGCAACAACATCAGAGTTGTCATAGCAATCAAATGACATCTTTGCAGTCGTAACAGACTTGAGTCACCATGAACTTTTAAACTTTAATGAAGAACCCTGTCTTTACAGCCTGTACAAATAATTAATTCCAATTTATCTGGTACAAACATAGCTATTTATAATAATAAGCTATTTATAATAATAAACTGACCTTAAAACCTCAGAGACAATACTTTTTACAGAAAACTCGGTGACAAATGTTTCAACTGCTTGTGCCAGTGGTTGAACAAGGTGTTCAAAGTGCTGCAGGAGCTGAACAATCTTCAGACTCACACCTAGTAACAAAAAGCAAAATTGAAAACAGTCAAACAGTAAATTCTTTTATAAGATTTAAGGTGGCATGAGCCTATTTTGGGTGTTGGTTATGTTTTGAATTGCATTTTTCAGCAGGAATGATTTAACTGATTGCTATGATTTTTATGCATCCTTAAGAAAGACTGATTGAACTTAAAAGACGTTATTTTTAATCTTACGTGCTGCGAATAACAAACAGAGGTCTCACCTAAGCCATAGTTATATTTCTTGACCATCACCCCCAGTAGATTGAAAATCAAGGATTTAGTTGTTCCACTTTTTATAGATGCTGGATTTTCAAGTAACTTGTAGCAACAACCAGTGATCAAACTGAAAAAGAAAAATTAAAGAAAATAATATTGACATTAATTTTTTGTTTAAGTACAATACAGCTATGAGGTGTGATATGAATATAATCTGAACACAAAATTATTATTGAGATCTCATGAGTTGTGATCCACGCATTCATCTACAGGCATACAGCTTTTAACCCTTTTAACCCTAAGATCAAAATTTGAATTATCATTTGTTGCCCCTATTCATTTCCTACAAAAGAAGTGGGGAGAAGTTGATAAAATATCAAGCAAAGTAATCTTGTGTGATCATGTCTGTAATTCTCATGACCACTCTGTTTTACAAAGCATTGATATTACAAGGTCAAAGGAGGGCTTAAAAAATTAAGGACTCCAAAAAAATTGGCCTGCTCTCCAGTTGGCTTGATAAGCTCAATGGATGGAGCACTGCATCGTGTCATTGCAAAGGTCAGGGTTTGATTCCCAGTCAAACCTGAATTCTTTCAGGTACTTTAATTCAACTGTTCAGGTTGTTCATTCAACTAAAAGGATCTTATTCACTTCCATATAGTCATTATTCTTCATTAAATTTAATGTTTCATGAACTAATATAAGCTAATTCAAGAATCTAGGAGTTTTTATTTTTTGACAACCCTTCCAGGGTTCCAATATGGCTTTGAAGTGAAAATTAATGATAATTAAGGTAATTTAAGGTTACAGTGGAACCTGTTAATACGGTCACCAATGCGCCAAAAAAATTTGGCCATATCAACAGGCTGGCCATATTAATGAGGGTTTTTTTACACAAAAATGTATGGCGGTTTTTCCTAGGTGGCCAAAAAAAAGTGGCCGTGATAACGAGGTGACCATATTACCGAGGTGGCCGTAAGGCAGTGTTCCCTGTATTTATCTATTAAGTGTAGTTATAAGGGTTTCTAACCGTTGGTGATCAGTGATTTCTAATACCAGAAAAGCCAATTGTGCATGATAATATTATTCAATGGACAACCATTATTCCTTTTTCATTTTTTTTTGTGATAGGCGAATTTACATCAAAAAAGTTTGCTTCCAAAGAGGTACAGGGTTACCTGTGCAATTCAAATCTAGACATAAAGCTGTACATGTCTCTATCACAATAATAATAAGTATAGCATTTTAAACCTTGTTTAAAAACCTTACTTGACAAAGTCTTCCTCCACAATGGGAGGCTCCCATAGTCTGTTGACATCCAGTTGTAACAGCTGACCCAGGGTTTGAATCAGTACATCACGCTGTTCATCCCACTCCCAGCAATTAGAAGTCTTTTTCTTAGCCATGGCCGACTTGCCTTTTTTCTAGAAAAATTCAAGTAAACTTTTAAGGGCATGTCACTTTCTATTTAATTCTTTTAGTCACAGATTGATACTGTATCCACTTGAAGATTTTCAGATTTTTTTAAAAAAAGGGATACAGTCACATTAATTTTGAGTCCTGTACAAATTTTGATTTAGACAAGGGGACTGTATTATCTGGGGACATCTCCATTGAGTTATGTGACTGTGCTTTAGGTGGCCCTTTTTTACAAAATCCTGAAACGGAAGAGATCAGATGAAGTTCAACCCCTTTAATCCTGTCCCTGACCTTTTAGTGAGATACAGGGGTTGATATGATCTGGACCAATCCAGGATTTGTTGACACCTGCTTCAGGTTGTACCTGATGTTTTGTGAGACATACCTTTCCACCAATAATTACTTCAGTTGAGGGCTTGGTAGCTTCTACTTCAAAGCTGTCTGCTAGCTGTGTCAGCAGATAACACAACATCTACAAAAAATAGGAGATTTTCAATACTCATTTCAAGAAATTACATTATTTTTTTCTTTTACATGGTTAAGAAGGTGGAGTATGATCATACAGGTGAATGTAGACCAGAATGGGACTGTTGTTGACAGTGACTCAGGTGAAGTTATAAATATATGAAAATCATATATGAGAACTGCGGGGTGAAGAACTATATGAAAGAAGATCATCGCAGTTATATGAAAATCTTATATGAGAGCTGCGGGGTGAAGAATTATATGAAAGAAGATCATTGCAGTTGTAGACGCAACTTTTGCAGTTGTGAAAAGAAAGCCTGACAAATAGACAACCTGTACAATGGTCATTTTCAGACTCAGTTTGACTCTAAAATTGGCTACCACATAGGTTGTGATGTCTAAACATCAGTCACCATCAACAACAGTCCTATTCAGGGGCCCTTTTCTCAAAAGTTCCTGTAACTTTTCGGGCCCAAAATCAAATATTCAAGTTGAAATAAATAAGAGAATAAGAGCATGGGTTCTGGCTAGAAAACTACTCCATTTTTTTTTTTCATAAACTTATAGTTTTGTCATGTTGAGATGCAAAACTATTGAAACCTCTATCTTGCATATAAACAACGACAGCTTTACAAGCTCGTTAATTATCGGGACTTTCAAGATCATATTCCACCAACTAATGAAAAGACTCCTGGGTTCAAACCATCACTACATATTGTACATGATACCACCTGTAAACAGGATCCACAGGAATTTCCCGCTACCATAGAAAAACAATACATTGACCACATCAAGAAAGTTGAAATGCTCTGCTGCCTTGTTGTTATAAAATAAATGAGAGTTGAAGTGTTTTTGCTTTTTTCTCCCTCTGTCATGCCTGACACTTATGCTCTATATAAATCTACAGCTGTATGACATGGTGTCAATCAAAATTCGTTTGTTGCCTGGATCCACTGATGGAAAGACCTCAAAAATGTGCTCTAAGAAACATTGAAGGGAGGCCAGCTGCTTTGAACTGGTGAAATCCATGGTGTCCAGCATACAGTTATGATTTACATAAAGAGAGTAAGATTTCTAGTCACCCAGGAGCAAAAGTTAGGCATCAGGGGCCACAACTAGAGCACAGCCTTGGACCAGCCCTGCATTTTGGTTTCCATCTCTAGGCATAGTAGACACGATGTTAAAAATAATTAACGAAAAAACAACATTGATTACACATCATCCTGCAAAGATTGGTCATAAAAAAATCACTATTTTTACCTTTAGAGTATTTAGGTGTGTTCTTCTGACTTGAAAATCAATATCTCCTTCTTCCAGAACTGATGGAAGCATATTGGTGAACTGTGAAAGGACTATAAGAATACAAAGCAGATAATCAGATGAGTACATGTAGCTGTTTACTAATTAGGTACAGTATTAACATGAAAGTCAACACTGGAAACCTGACCTTCCCTGTAAACCTGGACACTTTCAGGGTCTTCTGTAACAGTTCTGTAAGCTCCCGGGACCAGTAAAAATTGTCATTAGTCATCACTAAAGTACCAGCTACTCACAGACAGTGATTTTTCTATCTCATTTGTTACTGTCAACTCAAAGGTTTATAATACAAAATAAATAAATAAAGCAAATATGGGCCATAAAAGTGGCGACCTTGCTACAAAAATCTTTCCGTGGATGCTTGAAATGCTCTTAAAATGGACCCCTAAAATAAAGTTTTCCAGGGAAGGCGTCTGAACTCACTCAGTGGAAGTTGAGATCAGGCCTGTCACAAAGTCTTTCCGTGCAATTACAGACCAGTGTAGTAGGTAGGGACCCAAACAACATGGGAGTTCTTTTGGTCTCATTTTCAATTCATGTCCTATGAAAATAGCCCAGGGTCATGCCAATAATAAGTGACAGCCATGCCAATACAGTTATCCTACTCCCATAAGTGGCTGTGTCACATTAATTCACTCTCTGTCTTTAAAATCAACCTTTTCTTGCGACACCTACTCAATAATTTTTCTTTGACTACTTTTAAATTTTATGTAGAACTCTGCACTCCAAAAACGAGATGAAATGGGCCTGATTAGAGAACTGCACGCCCTCTGGAGGAGGGCAATGTAAAACAAAGGCAAGGCTTGTACATAATTATTGAAATCAATTTACGTTTCTGGGAAACTACCCACCTACCCCTCCCCTAAGCCAGCAGTTTGCCCTAAATGAGAAGTAACTGTTAGTGTTGGTTTAAGGGAGGGGTAGGTGGGCAGTTTTCCAGGGATTGTTGCAAATGTATGGTTTCTATACCGTAAAGAAGAGTGTCCCATGTTCCCTCTCTGAGTGTACTTTCCACTTCATCAAAACGTCTGCCAATAAAGGAGTAGAAAGTGTCACATTGTTATGTCTGTTATGAATATGTGTTGACCAGACGTCTACAGATCAATGATTTCAGGTCTTTCCAGAGAAACCATGCACAGACATTGCACAGACAGTGGAACCTCGTTAATACAGTCACCAATGGGACAAAAAAATTTGGCCGTATTCACGAGTGATCGCATTAACGAGGGTTTTTCACAAGAAAATGTATGGCCGTTTAGCCGGGTGGCCAAAAAAAGTGGCCGTAATAACGAGGCGACCGTATTTAATACCGTGGTGGCTGTAAGGCGGGTTACACGGTGCTCTCAGTGTTCCTGGAGCATACATTTCAAATCACCACCCAAAATTTTCACCCTTCAAGATGCATCGACAGTCTCTTTTTACACGGCAATAACGGAAAGTAAGTTATATCCCTTCAGAGTGTAATAATGTTAATTTATTCTCTAGAGACTCTTTTCCAAGCTAAATTCCAAGATTTAATGAAATTACGTGGAGTAAGCAGTCACATCGCCCCAATAATTATATCGAAAACAAATAAACCATTTCAATTATTTATTTTGAAGCTCTTGCCCCGCGGAGGGTATTTGTTTATAGAAAGCGAGAATTTCGAGGATCCGAGCAAGGTGACTAACCATTCAGAAAACAAACTCCTGGGCGACTGGATCGGTTTAACAAATTAAAATATACATTACGTTTAATCTAAGCATGACACTGACCTTAAAAGACTGAAAAAGCAGTCAAAAGTTTCTAGAACAACAGCTGGTCCACCAGATCGAAGTTCCGTTAAACAATCTGCAAGCAAATCAGCAAAGGTGAAAGATCGTATAGAAAACCAAAGCAAACCAAAAAATAAGACAACATTTCTCAACCTCGAAGTTTGTTTGGGAGAACACGCGCCGACAGAACTTCATCCACAACATAACAGCCTGCTTCGCCACTCAACAAATCGTCTTTAGACAGCGGAATAACAAAATCTACATCCATGCTTTTGGTATCTTGTTTTTCGCGGTTAAAAATGCCAGTAAAAGTACTATAAATACCAAAACAATATGAAAAATCAACGCTTCATTCCACTGTAAAATGGCCGCCTTTTTTCGAACGGATGAGGGAACCAATAAAAAGCCTGGTTACCAGTCCTCGTTAGGTAGCGCAGCTTGTACTCCGTGTAAGCACCCATACAGAGAGCCGAAAGGTGGCCTCTGACAAATACACTGCCACAGCGAAGTCTAGCGGCTTGCTGCGCCAAGGAAGTACACACCTTCATTTCTTAGTCAATTTTCAAGCGCTCTACCGACAAAGCTAATCGTGCATGCCTCCTTTGCAGGGTGTCCGTTTCTGCGAGGTGTCCGCAAGGCGGGAGTTGAATGTATATCAGAGCGCTTTTACGCAAACTTCAATTCGCTTAAGTTTGTTTTCGAAAGACGTCAAGGTAGAGCAGTCTTTGAACTCCTCAGGATGTCTGTTCCACAAGCTTGCAGCACTCAGAACATAAATGATCGCTGTCCGTGTGATTGTTTAATCCTGGGCAACTCCAAATTTATTTTGCTGTTTTTTGTTTCCCTAATATGGACTGCGCTGAATCTTAAAAACTTGTAGGCAGTGTAGCTGGGCAGCAGACCATTTAATGCCTTAAAAAGCATTTTTGCCTTTAGTTTTGCCACTCGCCCTTGAAATGAGAGAATGTTAAGTTCGCTGAGACAGGGGCGGATCCAGGATTTTTTTTAGGAGGGGGTGCACTCGTCTCTTGCTCTACTTCAACACCAATAAACCACATAGTTTTTTTTTTGCAGAATACCGCTAGTTGTATTAGAAAACCGCAGGTCATCTCAGGGGGGGGGGGGGGGGGGTGGTCATCTCAGGGGGGGGGGGTGCGCACCCCCTGCACCCTTCCCCTAGATCCGCCCCTGTGAGAAGAGCCGTAGAAGGAGCGTCCCAGGGAACATCCACTATTGTTCTAGCAGCGCGCTTCTGAAGGCGGACCATGGTATTGGAATGACTACCCACAATATTTGTCCCCATACATCAAGTACCTACCCATTGAGGTCACGTTTTCCGCTGATATTTTTTTTGATCACGGGCTCAATTCTGTATTCTTATCGGAGCTTCATACCTTAAAAAATCTACACATCCTAGAAAATTCGACAATCAAGTGACCCTACACCAACCGTCCAGGAATCAGGTAAACGAAGAACCACTTTGTGGATGTGCTTCCTCTAAATAATTATTTACTTATTTTTTTTATTTATTTTTTATTTAAAATGTGACCGACATCCATCAAAATTGGAAAAAATTAACCTTCAACCGTCAAAGCTACCAAGCCATTGAGACCCTCTGTTCCGGGAGGCAATCAAGTGACGTTTTGGTAGAGGTGTGATGCCGAGGCACGCCTTCAAACCATGACCCTTTTTAAGACAAAAAAAACTTTCGTTTTACAACCCTGTTAAAGAAAAGCCGATACCTTATTTTATGACTCTAATTCGTTACAAAATCGAAATATTTTTCAAAATAACATCATGGAATTAGATGTTTTGGAATAAAAGTTTTTGCTACCACATACAGCTGTATGGAGATTACTCATCTTGAATCGTCGCATTCTTTGGAAAGGCTTCCGGTCCAAAAAAAACCACTCTCCTCAAGAGCGCTTAATAATGATATTGCAGGGGCACCCAACGACCGTTTTCTGGGAAATGATCTGAAATGGCTCGTTATGCATCCTGGAGTGCTTTAAGAGCAATATAAATGAATAATTCGCATCGCTAAAATAATTTGATCTGTTCGGTCGTCCTAGGAGTGGTTTGAACCTCTCGAAGTCTTTAGGGCTGTTTTTCGCCTTTCCCGAAAATAACAGCCTACAGTGAAAGCTTTCCGAAAACGTAAGATTACCTGACGAGCTTTTCCCTTAGCCGAAATTTTTAGGGGTCCTTTCAAATTTTTTCCGAAAACTCTGCCTCTTGTGGGAATGTCTTCGAATTTTCTAGGGCGATGTAGGATGTATAGAAAATTCTAGGTGTAATAATAAGAATAATTATAATTAAAAAATAAGAAGAACAAAAATAAGACCAAGGAAAAGGCATTTAAGTGATTTTAAAGCCAGTTTCAAACGTCTTGTACCCTGCAGAACTCAATTCGCACGGCACTTACTGAAAAATCTGAAATACGGCATGGCAGTGACTGATAAGCCGGTTTTTTTGCTATTCTTAGTTTACGAAAGCTACGAAATTTCTAGGCGAAATCAGAATCTAGAGATTACTACAAAATCCGAAATTCTTAGGTGAACAAACCACACAAATCCCGAAACTCTGAGCGCAACAAACAGTCACCACGAAACATTTTCGAAATTTTTAGCTGTTCTTGGGCTCTCGAAAATTTTAGCCATTCTAGAGGGCTCCGAACAGATATTTCCCAGAAAACGGTCGTTGGGTGCCCCTGATATTGTATCAGTTACCCTAAGAGTCAAGATTCTGAAAGAAAACCATAAAAAGTTCAGCGATACAAACCCGCTTAGGCCAAATAAGGCCGTTCAGTGTCCCGAGCCGGGGATCTGCGTGTAACCGATTAAACGAATCCGATATCTGAAGTTTCCGCATTCTTGACGAATCCGGAAAAATCGACTCTAGCTTAAATGTAGCCTTAGAGTAACGTTTTATGTGTCATTGTTTTTAACAAAATGAACAGTTACAATTGATGTCAATGTAACGAATACATAGGAGAATAAAGGAGTGTTCCATAAACTTTACGCGCGTAGAAAAACGTTCTATTTTGTCTTTATGACGACGGGGTTTTTTATCTATCCACGACGCTAAACGAGTTTAGTCGTGTTGCACTTTGGAAAGAGAAAAGTCATTCTTGAAGAAAATGAAAACGTTTTCGATCCACATAATTTTCCTTCTAACAGTGTTAGGAACTTCGACTGCTTCAGGACTATGTCCGCGAGGAAGGTAAAACTTATTTTCACATCTGCTCTCTTCGCGTTAATTTCCTCGATGGCGTAAGCTGTAGTAGCAAAAGAACAGGGCACGGGCGACAACCGGTATTTTTTCCAGGCTAACTTTGCTTTTGCCTTTAAGGTATTAAACTGCTGCGCCAACCTTTCACTCAAAAGTGTTAGAGTTTCTTTAATTTGTTTAGGATTAAATTATCTGGTTGTCGTGAAATGTTCTCTTCTTGGCCTCAACCAGTTGAAAAAAACTGTTATTTGTTTGGATGATTTTGTTTCCTTGGTTACTTGTTTCTAAGGATCGGAGGCGATTCTTGCGCGCGCAATCGAAGTGACTTACGACGTCAAGTTCCGTTAATTGTTTCCACAAAGTTTAAAAACACCTTTCAAAGCATTTAAACAGCTTTGCTGTAACTTAGTTGTAGCCGTACAGATTTTAAGCTTCAATTAAGTATTAGCACATGCCTTTACTCGTTTTATACTGAACAGCCTCATTTGAGCGGTTTAAATGAATTTAATATATTTAAGCCCTTTCGATTGCATTCAAATTCAGGAGTCAAGGTTGCTGAAGAACGTTCCATCGACGCTTCACCGTAATTGTTGAAGACTTTGGAAGCAAGAGCGCTTTAATTGAAGTTCACCTAGCGTCGATTGATACGCTTGTCTCCGTGACGGTTAACTCAGTTAACCGTAAAATGAGCAGATTCACAACAGCTTATTTGCGTGGAGAAAACCTTTACAAATGAAGTAAGTATATAGCACAGTAAAAGAGCAATATGAAAACTAACGCAAACGGTGCTAGTGTTTCACAAAGTAAAAGATGGGTTCAACAAAGTTGCAAGCGTTTTGATAGAATATTAGCGCTATTTCCGAGACAGACAACCATCCAACGAGATACGGCAGGAGACAACTCCACCTGGTTAGCACCTACAGCATGGACCAGTCTCTTAAATGTCGCGAACTGGGTCGCGAAATGGCTATATAATGGTATCGGGTTGCCGAAGGATATAAATTTAGACGCATTTGCTCGCAGGACAGTTACTGCATCGGATTCTACTTGTCCGGCAGACGGCGTAAGTTTGGAGGTAAACGAGGTGCATTATGGTCTATGTGAAAATAGCGAGTAAGCTTGCCCCTTCCCAATGTTTAGCCCAGCATCGATTTAAAAAAAATTGGCGCCTGTCACGAAGGCTAATTAAGTAAAAACAAAAGCTTAACGTAAGCAATTAGGGCTTAACGGTATATTCTGCACATTCTTATCGTCCTTCTAGATTGTGAATAAGGATCAGACAACTTGCCCCGTGGCTTTCAGTATTCAGTTGATAACACTGACTGACAGTAAGCCTGACAGAAAGTCTTTGTCTAAGAAGTCTGAGAATGTTACCGCATGCAGAGGACGGTGAAGTTAACACTACCCTGCCAGCTACAAGCCTGGAGAACAGAGAAACTAATGTTACAGCGTTGTCTGGCAAGGCTGAAAGGGAGGTGAATGATATCATGGAAAACGGAACAAATAAACGCCGTGAACCAATCGTGGTATTTATGGGTCATTCTGATAGTGAAGAACTAATTAAAGATCAATCATCAGAACTTCCAAAATTTGTTTCCTCAACCTTCTTTGGTTTGCACCGAGAAATCCTTTCATCAAACTGACAAGAAAACTATGACGTTATGATTCTCGGCGACTCTGTCTCGGACAGTGTTACGCCCCCAGAGTTTCCTGCCATACGATACTATGGTATGGCTGCAGATAAAACAGTCCCTGAATACCATGATACCGGTACAAGAATTGATCGTGAGGAAGAGGAAATTTCTAATGCACTAGAAACGTATTTTACTGAGAAACTCATCCCAAGGCAAACGGGCTTGCATTGCCGCAGAGAGATACTGAGATCGGGACCATTGCTCTTCTGGATGAATCTCAATCTACCTTGAAAAATGAAACCTTGTCAGATTTGGTTGATTCAACAAACCAAACAATAGATTTTAACTCGGAGAAAGCAGATGAAAGCAATGAGAATGTTAAAATGGTCATTCGTAGACTTATTTCATCTAATGATACCAAAGAAGGTCTAAAGATCCGTCCAAATCAGCCTCAGAGAAACGGATTCCCGTTAAAAAAGGATGACAGTGGAGTGTACATGAAGGCACGTGAAAAGCTTATTCTGCGTATTGACCATTTACCTTCTCTGACTTCCCAAAACCAAGATATTTCACTCCTGTGAGGTTCAACTGCCAAGAAATCGCAGAGGAGGTGGATGACCAGACTGGTCAAAGACGAGTCTGGTTTTAATGTCACTGGTTTGAATCAAAGTAGCACGGTAAGCGAAAAAGAATTATCTTTGATATGTAATGGTTAGCTATAGTTCTCCGCGCAGTGATTTGACCTATACGAGTAGTCCCTCTGTTTCCTTCTGCCAGCTGCAATGATTAACGTAAAGTTCCCATAGTAGCGGCCCCCTGAAAGTAACGTCAAAAGTTTCTGACTTCTTATAAATCCCGAAAATAGCAAGCGCCCGCAAGTTGCGACCCCCCGAAAGAAGTGAGTCCCCAAAAAGTATCGAGACTAAGTCTTTTACAGTCAAAGCAGTCACTAATCCATTTCTAAAATGAACAATCCTATATAATCATATTCAGCCTCGATTCAATAATCGAATATTGACAAAGCTGTGGAAAAGGGGGGTGGAATTTGTACGCTGGACCAGATCAAATGAAACTCGAGAAAAGGCTTGGAATCTAGCGAATTGTAAGTACTCAGATGCTTATAATCATTGCTATCACTCTTCGTAAGCCCACAAACATAGAATAACAACAACAATCTACGATTGCTTTGTACCTCCAATCAGACAAATTTAAATCTCTCCCAGCATATTTCCTCTTTGAAAATATGTATTGATTGATTATTTTGTGAGTCGAAACTTCATTAGAAAGTGACAGGTCAATGTCTGCTTTGTTTGTTTGTTTGTTTGTTCTTTCTTAATTACGAAATTATTTTGGTTCATACTAAATTAAATTAATAAGATACTTCCAAAAAGTCGTTATATATAACAGTGGAAACATTTATATTTGAATTAAGGATGCTTAATACGAAGAAAAAATGAACAGTTTTGATTCTCGCATTCTGCATAGCAGATTTGATCCTTGCAGCTAATGGAAGAGTTCACTGAGTTCAATACAAGTAGAGGAGTTAATAGAGGAGTCCATGTAATTTTGATACTGTCGAGTTACAGAATTAAAATGTATGGATCTGTATGGGAAAATCAAGGGTTTGTAAAAATTGATCACGGACTTCTTTACACTGCGGATTTATACTCGTACGTTTACTCTTTTCAAAGAGAAAGCATGAAATATATGAATTCAGGAAGAATTAGCTGACTACCCATGATGCAACTATGAGCGTAAACTTCTCTATTGATGTTTCTCTGTTTCACGGGGTTAGTTTAGAAACATAAAGAAGTTAATCGACCGCAAAGTTTGTGTTTGCACCTTGTTCGTTAAAGATTACTTACTATCGCTTAATCTCTTTTTAGTTTATTTGACAAAATTCCTTACCAAAATGATTAACTGGACCTGGCAGGACATGTTTGATGTGATGACCATGATCATGGGAACTGAATGTTGCTGCACGGCTTTGTACCTCGGCATTCCTCACATTATTAAAATCATCAAACGTTTTATTCGAATGCTGATTCGAAAATGGAGGTAAGAGAATACGTGTAGAGTTTTTCCGTTTTTTTTAGCAATAATACCACACAAAATTTCTACGGTTTCTCCTAAAGCAGCAAAACAGCCATGTGTTAAGCTTAAGAGGCTACGAACAACGCCAGGGTTTGAGTTTTGCACTAAAATGGAAATACAAAATTCAGTTCGAAATAGAAAACAAGGTAGATTTGTTACATAAGTCCATCTATACTGTGACAACTTTAAGGATCCAACACAACCTTTTTGTGGCTGGTAGAATGCTATGCTTATGGAAAAGGTTGCCATACCAGTGAGTAAAGGTCCAACACAAAAGCCGTAATCATGTCCTTTTTTTCGGCGGTTCAAGGACAACTATGCGTGTCAGTAAAACGCAGGATCGGGGTCTGGACTGGGGCCGGGGCTTATCCCTTTTTTCTTTCAACGAATGCTGTTTCAGGGTTACGGTTAGGGATAGGGTAAGGGTCAGGGTTAACACTAACCCTAAGCCTAACCTAACCCTAACTCTAACTGTAACTCTAAAACACCAAAAAAAAAAGTTTATTATTAACCACTTATGTAAATTTTAAATTCATATTTTAGGAGCCGTTAAAAGATATATTTTCTCAGTAAAGCTCTGGCCCTGAGGAAGGTTAATATTGGCCTATAATAAATCAGCCCTTTGCCATAGTGCCTGCCCTGCATCCAGTTTTGTTCTCCTGGTTTTGTTCTAAAACAGCATTCTTTTAACAAAATATAGACCACGACCCCGGCGTCGGGTTCGACCCGACCCCCCGTTTTACTGACACCCGTCTACAATGAAGAATACGCACACCGCAACAGAAACTTCCGCGACATCAATAAACACCCCAGCATTCAATTTTCGCCCGAAAATCGATGGACGCTCTTTTGACCCAAATGAGTCTATTTCGTTTTGCAGATTGTATCGTAAAAATCACCAATACCAATTGGAAAAACAGCTTGAACGATTACGTCAAGAAGAACTTCCAGGCAAGAAAGCAGCTCGACCGAAACCATGGCGACCAAAACAAACAAGAAAGAGGAAGGCTAATTACTATGGAAGATTACCAAAATGGGAGCAATCATCAGACTTCTGAGGAAATTGAACGCTTTGTAAAAGGACGTTTCTATGTTAAGTCGCATTTGTAACTTGTAAATCGAGAAAAATGCTTGTTTTTATATCTTTGGACTTGTGGTTTCTTTAGTTACTCCGTTGGCAGCCTTTCCCCTAAAGAACAGCAGTCCTTGTTTCAGCGATATACAGTTGGTATATTTACTGCCCCGCTTAAGCAAATATTTAAGTTCTTTCTGCGAATCCAAAATCCCAGTTTATAACCTGTCGTTACCAGCGCAAAGGCCGGTAAGACAGCCATGTAGTCTCGGTTACGCATTATGTACTGGGAAAACAGGGAAGAACTTTATAGACAGGACCACAAAAAAAGTTAAGAACTATTTAAGACTGTGCCGACAGGGATTACAGGCACTGTTCACTGCTCTCGTTGCCTTCGCCGCCGGCACAACACGATTTTATATTTTGTTTGCGCAAACTATAAATATTATCGAGAGTTTCGCTTTTAGTCCTGGCTAGATCTTTGTGTTACTATATACCGAATAGCATTGTCCGTTAAGGTATGAACATAGATAGCCTTAATCGCAGCTTAAAATCAAGTCACAGAATTTTAAGTGGATATTAAGGCTTGTCCCTGCTCTCGTTATCAGTTGTCAATTTGTCAATCAAACGGCATTCAGTTTGTTTTTTCGAAAAACTATAATCTGCTTTACACAATATGATGGGATCAAGAAATTAGGTGATGCTTAAAAATGATCAATTTGTCAGTTTAGAATAGAAAGGACCGTCAAAAGTTTGATTAATTGGATAAAAATCATTAACATTTCACGGCGTTTAGCTTGTAAATATTCCGTAACTGAGGAATTCAATACTAAACAATACCTTTTTTATTAGCAATGGCAGCAGGCCGCCTTAATTTACATTTAGTAAACAGAATAAGCACAAAAACTTGCAAAGCGCGTATTTAAAAGCAGTTAAAAGGCTACACTCACTTAACGCTGTGACCAATAATCACGTCACGCGAACAAAATTCGGCTAAACCTGAGAAACGTTGGCTAAATACTTCCGAAGGTGCGAACCATTTGATTGGAGTATTCAAATTTTTATTTGACATCGCGCTTGTTGTCATTCAAAAGCCACACAAAAGAAAATAAATTATTGTCATGTAAAATCAACGCCTTTTATCTACGCTGTGTTATTCTGGGGGTCTTGACTGCCTTACATTTGGCCCGGCTGATAACGACAAAAAGTTGCATTTACTAACGATGTTACTTTTCATGGAGAAAGGAAGCGAGTTGTGGTATCGGCGGTAGTGGAAGTTGTTCGGCACTGTGCTTACGGCATCAAAACAATGGATTTTCAGAATATGCAGAACCTAAACTGTTCCCCTTGTGGCGAGACATTTGAAAAATTGTCCTTCACATCACTGGAAATAGATGCACTTAATTGCTTGGAAGAGACCATAAAATCTCATGAAATGAACTCGGATGATGGTGATCAATTTCCTGCAGATGATTTGGAGCCAAAAGCTGAGTCAATTTCGGAGCAGAATAGTATGTTCAATAACTTGTCTCAGCCATGTGCCAATTCTACAAGAGCCTGTGCGAGCCGAAAATTAAACGCGGGTTATATTATTTTTGACGGATCTGAAATAAAATACATATCTACCGATAAAACAGAAACAACGACGATATCGAAACCCTCAGAGGAACTTCGCAACGATTGTAGTTTTCGAAGCAGAACCTCAGAACATTCAACTCATATTTCCGAACTTGCTTCTCATTTGAATTTAAGTTCTGATGATTTAATAAGAGACTCCTTTAAGGACACAATTTCACGCCTTTCTCTCACACCGTACAAGAGACTACCGACCTACGTGCATTTTTCCACTACAGAAAAGTTTTATTTGCTGGCGATTGGAGCAGTACCCTCGCTACTGCTCAATACTTTCTACATCAGTGTGGAGTTTTTCCGACCGTTTCTTGGAAAGCAAGTCTTATCCGAAATAGGTAAGTTGCCTTTTTGCATTATAAGTTCACGTTGGTACTTTTATTGCTGGTTTCTTCCGTGCTCAGTGCGCATCATTGTTTTAAATTTAATCCAGCTTAGAGCCCTTGGGAGGTTAAAACAAACGCCAAGAAAATATTGTTTTGGGAATTTTTTTTACTCGATCACCATGCGGACAGTTTTGTATGATTTAACCAAAGGAAAAGCTAAGAGAAAACATAATTATGTTAATTCCAATGCATCAAGATGAGAGCATAAAATGGAGCACGTTTTAAGTTCAATTTTGACATCTTTATTTTATATATACGAAGCAAATTAAAAAAGACTTACGGCAAGCTGGTCCTTCGACACCTGCCCAGCTCATAAACCACCAACCACTATCCTTTATTTGTAATAACAGTGAAAAACTATCTTATTTCATTTCTACATATCATTAACTGCGGTATTTAAAGCAAAATTTAATTTACCGATCATTTGACATTATATCTATGTCAAACTGCTGTGAAAAGTGAAAATGCGAAAAAAGATCAAAAGCCGTACCATCAAATTATATCAAATATCTCAACTACGCTGAAAAACGTAGTCTAGTTGGCTAAATTTTTAATTTACTTTTTTCTGCCGTAAGTTATTAAAAGGTATCGGTTACGCGTCCTATTTCACGGCATCTGGTTGATAAAACGAAGAGATAAGATCCTGCACTCGCACACTAGTTTCGACTGATATTTTTCAGGTCCTTTCGTTTACGAAAGAGAAAATAATTAGATATTCACAAACTAAATCAAACTAATTTTCATCAATGTTAGCAGAATGGTGGCCTTTTTACGTTTTAACTTCAAAGCTAGGATCATTATTGAGAAAGTTTATTTTTCAATATCCTAGTTCGAATGTTATAAATTGAAAGCAGGAAATATCTTAGTCGCAGGCGAGTTTTAAACCCAATTTCCTGTTTCTTTAAGCGCCCCTCGACCCCGGAGGGCGGAGGGGGGTACTCAACAAGGTTTTACACAGGGAGGCTCCGCCTCGAGGTCCGACCCCCTACCCCTCTGTATACCATTTGGAACAATTTAGGTTTCTGGGAAATTACCCACCTACCCCTCCCCTAATCCAACATTTTGCCTTAAGTGAGAATGAAGTGTTAATGTTGATTTAGGGGAGGGGTAGGTGAGCACTTTTCCAGAGACCTAAATTTTGCCAAAAAAGTTACCCCTTTCATATAGTTTCTATTTTACAATTAGTCGCCAATTAGGCGACGTGAACATCGGCGAATAGTCACCGAGACAAAGTCGAGGTGACTATTCGCCGATATTCACGTCGCCTGAAGCGACTAATTGTTTTAGTACATTTACATTGATGATTATTCGCGAAAATAAAATTATTGATCAATTTCCGACTCCGAAACACCAACAAATCTGGCTGCCATTTTGAAAACAGCTGGCCTTCAATGTTATAATCACCGCGCGGTGATTATAGCGGGATGAAGTGAAGCTCCTAGCCAATCATAGCGCTCTATTTTTGATAATCATCAATGTAATTATACCAATAACAAATGGTTCCCCTTTCAAACACCTAATTTAAAACCCCGAGTCCCTTTTAACCTCACTGTCTTTAAAATTTTAATAGATTAAAAACACGAACATTTCCTCGACTTTTTCACAGGCATAAAATGCATCTATAAGCCCTTTTGGGACTTTTTACACACCGAAATAAGAAATTCCTATTCCCTTTCATATACTTTAACTAATAAAATCCCTACCCTTTCATAAAAAGATACCCCATTCGAACGGAGCCTCCCCGTGTAGGCCACTTTATAGAGTACCTCCCCCCCCCCCCGCCCCCCGAGCCCTTGAATAGACGTTTTCAATGAATGCAATGTATCTAAGGCCCGATCTTTCCAAATTAATGTAAACCGCCAAGTTGCGAGACATTTTTGTTCTTGTCATTCTTTTCGAAACCAACAAAAACAAAGAGAGAGAGAAAGAAACACTTCACATTGCTCATTTTATTGTATTATGTGTTCGAACCGTTACAACAAATTGTTGAAGAGTGTGAGTCGCGACATCCTGTCAGAAAATCAATGTTGTCCAGTATAGTCAGATAAAAATAAAGGGGTCGGAACACTTTTCGCCGCTTTAGAAACGAGAAAATAGATCGAGTTAATTTTCGCAAAGATTTCTGGGACGGTTACTAAGGACAGCGGAAAAAATGGCCAATCGCTGACCGGCGCTTCCCTAGTAACCATCCCAGAAACAGTTGCGAGACACATTTCAGCTCCAGTTTCCTTCTCGTTTCAAAATGGTTGTGACTTGAATGGATACCTTAAAATCAGGCTGGACACCTTATGTTTATTACACAACTCTATACTCTATACCACGCTTTATTCGAATTTACAAGTGGGGAAATCAAAGTAAAAGACAGTTGTGCAAGGAAAAGAGTTGAATACAGGGTTCAGCACCGGAAGTACAGTGATTGGGGTTAAGCACTGTTTTAAAAGCGGTTAGCTTTTAGTGTGATATCAATGCCATGTAGAGTATGTTAAAATTAACTGGTGTCAGCAGTTAGGCCTTGATTGTGTAGTGGATACGGATGTGGATTATACATCAAATGACGCGGGTTCAAGTCCTACATGCTACCTACTGTTTGCTTCTGTTTTCTTTCTTCTCTTATTTAATGCTTTAAGTTGTAAGACTCCTATAAAGTATTTTGAGTGAAGATGACAATCTGACTTTGGGGTATCCACTCTAGTCATAACCGTTTCAAAGTTGGCGAATTAAACGGGCTGTGTCACGGCGGTCCAGTTCATTTTGTTCAATTTTGCCAATTACTCGCCCCCAATCGCTATAAAACTTAAAGTATTAAGCAAAGAAATTTCATGTAAATGACAAAATCAGAGATTCGAGACAAACATGCAAAAATGTCTCCTGAGCATTATTTTTAAAGTTGCAAACAGCAGAGATAAACTTTGAAAAACTGTTAGGCTGAACAGTTTTCAAAAACCCTAATTTCAATCCGTTTCAATCTTCTTCAGTTTTGCCCATCCGTGGAATCTGATGTATTATTTTAACCTTCCTTTAATGTTTTAAGCGGTTATTTTTATGTTTCTCGTAATTTAAAGGGCATTTTTTAATTACCTAATTTGGCTGAAATTCGTGACACGGCTCTTTAAATGAACTGGTGTACTGTTTTAGGGGTGCCATGTCAGGAAAGGTAAAGGTTAAAATAATTGAGCACTATACGAGAACGTGCCAGTCCGTGGTAATTGTCTTACAGATAATCAAATCCATATTTATGAGCATATTTTTAACAACAAACAATAACAACAAATTTTATTTAAATGTTATAACTACGTACATTACTTTCCCACCCGCAAATAGCTTATGAACTAATGGAGGCGGGGGGAGCTAAGGACATGTTTACAAATACAAGGTTTATTTATAGATGGACTAAATAACAGTAAAGACACTACAATACAATAAATAGAACAAACTTACATGCTCGACGGTGTGTTGGTCTGCAACTTTTGAAACCTTCGTTACTATGATCTAGAAGGGTTGTATAGTTTGACTCATTTTGAAGAAATTAATATTGAAGTGCTCGAACAAACGCTACGATAAAATCCGAGCATTCCAGCTGATATAGAATCCATCAACTTCTACGGTTGGAAGGTTAGTTAGCGGGCTGAAGGCACATCGCATTAGGAGGTATGGTCTTTGGTTCACTGAATCTTTTAAGTGAACACACCACTTATTAATACGCTTGCGAGATGCAGGAAGCGTACGCCTTGCTCGCCAAAAGTCACCGACAGTTAGACATCCATCGGGAAACAGCTGGAAACTGGAAGGTCGTGAGTTCGATTCCTGCTTGGGGATTGGATTTTTGTTTTTCATTTCAATACTTTCTTTAGTTTTATTTCAGGAGGAGCTTGTTTCGTCAGATATTTACCAACGGGATGAAAGTTACCCCCCCCCCCCCGCACCCCACCATTAATTTAATATGTGCAACCATCCGTTTCCAGGAACAACCTCACTTAACATTGTTGTTTATGCTAATTTACCTAACTATTTACAGGAATTTGTCATCATCTTCCCTTTCTGATCGCCATGTTGGTTGTATTCTGCGGTAAAAAACACTGGGTTCCATTCTTTCCTACACTTCCGGTTTGCTTCGTTTTGATGTGCGCATGTGTCGTCGTTATACCGTCCTTTGTTACCGCTGGCGTCACCTTGTCAGTCATTACCATATATGGCGTCATAAGCTTGAATGGATTCTGTGCAGGGCTCAGCCAATCGCTGGTTAGTCGAGTCATTGTACTGTTTCCTGGGGGAAAGAGCAATATGTTGATACACTATGGCAATGGTAAGCAGTAAAATGATATATTATTTGGGTTACTAATGGCCCAATTAGTATAGGTAATAGCATGATTTGTAGTGATATTTGGAATAAATACCACGAGTGATATTTTGAGACAATTTTGAGATGTCATGATTGGTATTTATGCCAAATATCACGTACAAATCATGCTATTATTTGTTTACAATACTACCCGCAAAGGTTTTGTAACTGAGTTTCACATGTAGGTATTTCAAATTAAGTTGAAATACCACTGCTCTAAGCCAATCAACTTGCAGAAATATCTCATCTAGTAGTATAACACGCTTAGATCTAGCTGAAAATGCACTGGTTCTTGAAAGTAAAAATACCAGCCAACAAACAGAGGGTACCGAGGGAGCGGGCGTCGGGGTTTACCTTCTTCTGCTCCCTAAGAAAAGATTTGGCACTTATCCAAGATAGCCGCCCGTAACGCAAAGCGCCATCCTTACGAAACAATAGGGGACTGTGAACAGTTTAATCAGTAGTTTGGTGTAAATGTTGTGTTGCGAATTTATCCTTCATTTAAAATTTATTTTTCTAAGTTTCAAACTCTTTTTCATACACAACCAAACCCTAAAAAACGGAGCAAAAGAAAATACTATTAAAACCAAGGATAAAGTTGAACGACAACAACGCTGTCATTACCTGTACCTCGCTAAAACGGAGTATAGTACAGTCCGCAGTAGCTGTGCCGTGATTATCGACAGATGCACAGTTCAATGTAACAGGTTATTGATGATAGCTCAGCATAGCTAGCTGTGTTCAGATCAGTATAGGGGTGTATAACGTAATACTAGTAATAACCAAAGGTTACGGAGTGTGGACAACAACGATCGAAGTTCAAAACTCTTTCGCTCAATCGCTGTGCTTTGCGTAACGGTTTCACGTGACAGATACTTAATACACGCGTGATCTGATTACGAGTGATAGAAGGTGCGAATTGCGTTCTGTGCATTCCATTTATTCTTAGTGGAAGTCCAAACGAATGCTGGTTACATACATGCGACGCATGCGTAATAACATCCTGGAGATTAGGATTGCGGGCTCCTCTTGTCGCGCGCAATTACTGTGGTGCGAAAGAGTAAATAGCACATAAAGTGTATCAGTTTCTCCATGGTAGATTTGATTCACTCGGAGGCGAGTTCGTCTTTCACTATTCCCGTCAAGTAGCAGGATACATTTTAGCCTGGGAAAACATCCGACATTTCGAGAAGCTACCACCGATTCCCCGCGATATGTCTGATGAACGATGCGCAAAACTTTCAGGTAAGTGCTTCTGATTGGTCGCGCCGCGGGAAAATTTTGATTCAACCAATCAGAAGCACTAGTCAGATCTGGGCAATGATACGTCAGCGGTTCTGAGATTCTCAGACGTCATCTCGCGCGGAATCCAGTATTGGCGACGAAAAATGTCGGCTGTTTTCTCAGGCAGAAAACTTTTCTAATTGTTGCGATTGTCAGAAAGCCGGGTGTTCATAATAGCTGCGCACAAGTCACATAATGTTACGAAATCATTATGTAACTTCTTTCCTGTTCTCTACTTTCAGGTGTGGGAACTCTGTTTCCTGTTTTACTCCAAATCATCCTAATTTTATCAACAGGTCTAAACTCAAGCGAATCACAACTGTCTGACCACAAGACCCTCTGCCTATACGTGCTGTTCGGTGCAGTGTTTCTAGGGATCTCTCTTGGACTTTTCTCACTGATAAGACTTAGTAAAAGTGGAATATACGAGTTGTTTGCAGGGAGGGACTGTGTGGCTCACAGCCCGAAGAACATTACACTACGATCTGTACCAGAAACGGCAAAGAGGAGATATCATGCCATAAAATGGTATTTGCTCGCCGAGTTCACTCTTTCGCTCGTAAGCTATTTTGTACTTTCACTCGCTCCGTTTATCCACGATGCCACGTATAATGGTTCACGTACGAGTACCTCGCCGTTTTGGACCGTTTATCTTGCTACAGTATTTGTGGCTATTTTCAGATTTGGAGATTTTATTGGACGCCTGTTTTCGCGTTTCTGTTGTGATAAACTGCAACTAGATGTAAACGTGGCAACGTTCTGTTATCTAACAGCCTCAATTCTCCGCCTGGGATTTGCTTTCGCAGCGGTGTTTTACATTCGCACACCGTTCTTGGTTTATTATAATTTGTTCATGGTAGGCTCCTACTTGATGTTGGCATTCACGAATGGATTTTTCTCCGTTGCCATAACATCAAGCTGTCAATCATTTATCATGGTGCAAAGGAAGGACTCATGCCCAATTGTTTCGCAGTTCCTTTGGATTTCAGGAATATTAGGAGCAAATGTTGGTATCGCATTGTCGTTTACTCAAGTCATTATTTGACAACCGCCCTTCCTGTTTGGTGACAAACGGAAGACTGGAGACTTCCATTCTTTAAAAAGCTACTACCTTATGTGGGTTGAAATGGCCTGTGTATGATCCTGTGCACGTGATCTCTCTTCCCCAACCCCATTTTAGGTAACATTAGAGACCTTAAAGTTCACCGTTTCCGTGTACGGGTACGGGTAAATTGGCCGTACACGTTGCCGTAAATACAGGTAGATTGCCTCTAACTCAGGAGAAACGGGTAGGATACCGGGTGGCATGGGTACACCGTCATGGTCTGGGAAATGTTCGCTTACCTGTACTCGTAGGCTGAGACGGTGTATCTTAAGGTCACTAATTAAACCTTTCGATTAAGCGTTAGTTCTTCTTTGAAAAAGCAGAAACAGCCTTCCCCTCTTGTTAGAGAACTGTTTTAACAATAAACAGGCTTTTTTCGATAAACAAGCTAGTAAACACGACAAGTTTCGTCAGTCATTGAAGGTCCCGATTTTAATGGGTAGTTAGTCACACTGAAGTATAGCTGACAAAAGGGAACCTAAAGTACATTCAGCAAAATGTTATACCACAGGTAACCCAGGCTCTGTGATAGTACCACAGTACGGTTCCAGTAAAATTACAGAGTTTGTGTGAGGTAAAAATACTATCCTAAAAACTTCTAGGAAATACTAAATAAAGATCAATGAAACTTACTCTGCAGTTAGTTGTTGTTGTCTTTAATGCTCCAACGAAGTTTTATGATAAATTTGTTCAAATTCACTGTATATACAATAATAATATAGAAGGTAGGAGACATGAGATGCCATTTTCGTCGCCATGCTCCCTTTCAACACAATTTTTTCCACGAAACTCGAACTGCAACGGAAAATAAACATGCCAGGATGGTAGAAATAGGATAGCAGCAGATATAGAAACCAGTGAAGCTTTCCCAGATAGAGAGACGAATCCCACAGACTTTAATAAACTCGAAGGATAGTATCCAAAAAGACCGAGAACATGTTCGCCGAAGTAGCCGGGCCAGATCAACGCGCGGCCAAGAAAATGAGGCCTGGGCACTGTACAAAAAAATCCATCCCAGGAGTCCTGAGGTGACCTCTCTGGGGACCGATACATCATTTGCCTAAAGCCACCCTTCCCTGCTGGAAAAATACTTAATAGAAAGCAACTGTTCTTCCTAGCCAATCACAATTCGCCAGAGCAAACCCTGCACACGCGCCTAAATTTAAATGGCTAAAAAAATAGTCTGCCGAGTTCTAAGGCACCCCATTTCTTTTACTAAGGAATGCAAATAACAGTTATGAAACTATGAAATAATAACGCGAAATACTTACAAGGCGGGCTAAAAACAAGTCTGAACAAGAGGTGGATGATGACTGAGATACTGTTGCTGTGAGCTCTCGAGCGAAACGATGGTAAATAAACGGTGAAGCTTACAAAATAGTGTCAAAAATTATACAGAAAATTCCAACCAAATATGGATTGCGATAACTGAGACGAATGTGAAACGCATGTGCACCAGTAAACAAAGAATTAGCGCGATTAACATATTTAGCGATTAACGCGGCCGTAACACGCCGACTTGTTGTCAATACAACCGGACGTTCTATCAGTTAAATATGTAAACCATCGTGGCACCTCTCTTTGAATTTGGTCCTGTTGTACAAATGCCGCGATAAGAGGCAAAATTCACTTATATCTTTTGCTCGTTGTTTTAAGTTCTGTAAATCCTCCTTCGTTGTTATTTCCTTTGCACTTATAACTTTGCCCTATTGATGTTTGATAGACTTTCTGAGGACCAGCGCCAGGTGCTGAATATAGTTCCGATTATTGAACAAAAGATGTGTTCCGACGACCGCAAAGTTTGGTCACGTTTCTTAGAGACCACAAAATGTCACGCCACACTGGAAGCGTTAATGTCCTGGATGACATCCGAAATGAAATCTAGAATGAGGGCCACGGCACCGCGGAGAAATTCTTAGCACCTAAACGTCAATCAGATATCATATTTTGAGGAAAAAGGGAAAGTAAACCACAAGTACTGGTTGTGTAAGGTGTCAACCCATTGGACGGACCAGAGTCAGAAATTTACGTCATTGTCCCCCAGCGACCGTGTCAAGGCCGTCAAGGAGAACCATGGTTGTTTCAGTTGTCTAAAACGAGCTGGTCGTGATCATAATGTTTCCACCTGTTACCGCAGACGCCAATGCAGTGATTCATTCAACGGACGTCATTGCAAATACTTTCACCACCCATTGTTACACGGTGCTAATGCAACAAACTCCGCTACAGCCTTAACAGTTTCATCCGTTACGGGCAGCAAACAGGCAATTCTTCCCGTCATTGTTGTGGAAATTCTGGGATCCGAAAATGTCAAAAAGCAAGGAAACCTGCTCCTGGACTCCGGTGCTCAGGTCACCTAATCAAGTTGTCATTAGCAGACGAACTCGGTCTTAAGGGAAAGAAAGTAACCTTCACCATAGCTAAAGTTGGAGGGGAGGAAGAAGAATTGATAACGAAGCTATTCCGTGTTCGCATCCGATCACTAGTGAGCCGAAATGTTACCCATACAGTTACAGCCGTGGGCATTCCGTGTATAAGCAGTGACATAAACGAAATAAAGCTCAGTCACGTTGCTGGAATTTTTGGCCTTGGAGAAGAGGAAATCCGCAGAAGAAATGGCCCGGTTGACCTACTCGTTGGCATTGATCACCCTAAACTGCATACAGGTGAGACCAGAGAAGCTGATAACCTTATTGCAAGACAGTCCCTCCTTGGCTGGGTCATATTTGGAACCACTCCCGGAAAACGTGGACAAGTGAACCGCGTCTTTAGCGTAAAAGTCCCCACGCCCATAGACATGGCTGACTTTTGGACGACAGAAACAATGGGAGTCGCTGCTAAGCCTTATGAATGTGAAGTGGACAAGTTAAGTGCCGTAAACGAAAAGAATTGAAAATTATTGAAGACTCCTGTCAAAAGATTGGACACCAGTGGCTAATATCTTATCTATGGAAACGAGACCCGAAGGAACTGCCCAACAATGAAGTACAAGCTAAGAAGAAGCTGGAAGCAACTGAGCGCAGCCTGTCAAAAACACCGGAGCATGCAGCCGCCTACGACAGACAAATGATGGAAATGACAAAGATGCCTTTTTGCACACAAGCTCACAAAACAGGAATTGGGGACATACAAGGGACCAGTCAATTAAATTGCCCACCACGAGATAGTGAGACCCGAAAAGACAACGCCCATCAGCATAGTCTTTAACTCATCTGCTTCATTTCAAGGTCACCGACTGAATGATTATTGGATGAAAGGGCCTGATCTGCTAAACAGCCTTTTTGGAGTCACCTTACGATTTAGAGAAAATGAAGTAGCTGTAACCGGAGACATTATAAAAATGTATCACAGGGTTCTTATCCCCGAGCAAGATCAGCAAGTTCACCGATACCTGTGGAGAAACATGGAAACTAATCGAGTGCCTGATGTTTATGTAAAGACGGTGCTGACGTTTGGAGATAAGCCCGCACACGCCATGGCACAGATCACTTTGGGAAAAACCGCGGACCAGGCAAAGAGTTCGTATCCCGAAGCTGCCCAGGTATTGAAGAACAATACCTACATGGACGACATTTGTGATTCAGTCCATTCCGTTCAGCAAGCCAAGCGACTGACAACTGAGCTGGATGAAGTATTACTGAAAGTTGAATTTTAAGTCAAGGGATGGCTCTCAAACTGGTCTGACCTACCCAGAACTCGCCTGGAACCGTTCACGCTCCCATTTCATTACACAGCATTTGACTACTTTGGACCGTACAAGGTGAAGATAAGCCGAAACACAACCACCAAGCATTTTGGAGTAATCTTTACCTGCATAAACTCGAGAGCTGTACACCTGAAGCTGGCTGTAGACTATTCTACCTACGCTGAGACGATTCTTTGCCATCAGAGGACAACCTGCGCTGATGATGGTTCTCAACTTGTGGGCGCAGAGGGCGAACTCAGAGAGATTATCCAGGGGTGGAATCACAAAGAGCTTAAAGAATTTAGCGCCGAGAAATGAATGAGATGGCAATTTATTACGCCTGGAACACCGCATCAAAATGGCTGCGCAGAAGCGTCAGTTAAAAGCGCCAAGAAAGCCTTAAGGAAAGCGATCGGTGAACAAGTCCCGACGCCATTTGAATTATACACCTGTTTACTGGAAGTGGCTAACCTGATGAATCAACGGCCCTTTGGTAGAATTCCTAACGACCCGGATGACGGCTCGTATCTGTGTCCCAACGACATGCTCCTTGGACGGGCCACCTCAATGGCGCCACAAGGACCGTTCAGAGAAACCAGGAACCCACGGCATAGAGTCGAATTCATACAGAAGATAATGGACACCTTCTGGAGACGTTGGATCCGAGACGTGTTCCCGTCGTTGGTCCCCAGAAAGAAGTGGAATGCTGAAAAGAGCACGGTGAGAGTGGATGACATGGTCATCATGGAAGATTCCAACTCTGTTCGTCGAAACTGGACCATCGGAAGAATCATCAATGTCTACCCAGGGAAGGATGGCAGAGTTCGAAATGTAAAAATTGAAGACATCAAACTCGGTGTATAAAAGGTCTATCACAAAGATTGTGATCATTTACCCAACAGAAGGATATGAGGACTGATGTAGTTTAGGATGAGAACACTGCCCTCATCGAGGCGGAGAATGTTAACGTAGTTTTTTGGACTATGCAAGGAATTCATAGTCAAGGAATTTGTGGTAGCCTTGTACACGCCCGACAGGAAACTCAAATAGTAGATAAACCTCAACTTTAATTAAGGACTTTAGTTTTACCTGAGATCTGAATTGGACATGTTTTATGTGATTTACTGCTTACCTGTTACACTGTTTCATGGTTATCCCGATCAAGGAAAGTTAAGAAAACTCGCCATAGAAGTAAGTTTATGATCAATGTTGTAATATTGTCAATCAGTTTAGTTTTGTTAGTTTTATATGGATTTCATGAGTTTTTGGATACTGACGACCAGTAACCGCATGGCATAATGATTGTTAAAAGTTTATATCAGTTATTCCCGCTTCGCTCGTTTTAATTGTTTCGTTTATTACCAATTGATTTAGTTAATTAGATTATATTGTACATTTTAATTTCAGATCGAATAAATATATTATCAGTTATACGATTGCGAGTATTCTTCGGTAGTGGATCGTCTTAGTTCTCTTGCGAAACACAAAAGCGTTGGAGATATCTTTCTTTTAAAAATGTTAGGATTAGCGCCCGTGATCGAGAAATTTGTTTGGGGTGAGAGTAGACCAGAAGAAGTGAACAAGCAAGATGGTATCGACGACAAAAGCGTGAGCGGCAACTTCGTGGCCAAGACGCAAAATCTTCTTTATTTTCATCCATCATTGCTGAAGTCTTATAGGGAGTTTTTTCGTGATTTCCATGATTTTACGTTGAAATCTGGCAAGCCAATTGCAACTGTCCTTAGTTCCTCAAGAGATTTATGTCGAAAGTGTGGGAGAAAGTTGGTGTTCGAGAACAAAGCAATTCCTGTTTTTGGGCTCTCGACTGACAAAACTGTGCCGGAAATGCAAAATTTATGAACACCACGGATATTGGTCTGTTGATGGTAAACGGCATTTTAACAGGGGCTATGTATTGTCGGAGTTTCTTTTGTCATCTGAGGACACTGCTTTCCAGATGGATGTTTTGGCTCAATGCAGCAATCTCCTTGTCATGGGCGCGGTTCTGTTCAGTACTTATGCTGCTAGCTACAATAGACGCTTCCAGTATTCTAAAATGGCCATTACGAATGCCATTGATGCTAAAGTTAAGAGAATGAAAAGGTATGTTGATAATATTATTGCGAAGGTAAAACAACCTCAGAAACAATTTTCCGAAAGGGTCAGGAAGGAAAGACATGAAGTCTATTTGTGTAGCTGGTTTGTGCACCTTTTTTGGTGCTCAGCTTTCTGAAAGTAACATCGATACGGATATTAAAGCTGTAGAATACCGTAAATTATCTGTTAAGCCCCCCTACCATCTCACTTAATATTATGCACTGCTAATAAATGACAGATCGTAATCAATCACGATTGTAAAACTTTGTGACGACTGATCTGGCGTGGTTTATTCACCAACAGGAAGCTTGGATTTCATTGTGATCTTCGAAGTAGGTCATTTTGTTTGAATAAGATGTATTTCCCTGGGCTCAATCCTATGAAAATTTATAATAATGTATGGAATAGAAGAAAACAGCACAGGTACAGGTGTTATTAAAAGTGGGTGTAAAAAATGAAAAATATTATTCATATACTTCTTTTTTGATGCTGTGCTGTTTGAAGGATTTTTTTTACATGCTGTGTTATTTCAATTTGGTTAAAATAGGTACAATGTACCCCTCTTTGACAATAAAAGGCGAAAAAATGATACGAGACTATTGTGACATAGTGTGTAGTACAAAACTTTTAGTAACAACAGGTAACTCAAATCAATAGATAACAGAAAATGTTATGTATGATGTTATGTATGATGTAAATGTTAAGATAAAAATAGAAACATGTGTATGTTGCATTTTAGCATATTAAAATATGCCTTAAAATTATTAGGTTGCCAGAACACAACAGCTAGAGGATCTAGATATTGTTCACAGCATTGTGCAACAGCAGTTACATTCCTTGATGACTCAGATGAAAGCAACAATCCCCAGATGACAAGACAATAGTGATCAACCGGGTGCTTTAATCACCAGAATTTTGAATGAAAAGACCACAAGACAAGGGCTGTTATACGAGGCATACTTATCTATTATATACATGTACATCACTCCATGCTGTGTGCAAAGTCCCATTATAAGATAGTGTTAATAATTTTCCCAAAGCTAAATTATTTAGATAAAAATTTGCAAGAAATATTATTTAATTTCCATTTTCTAGTCAATATCTTTCTTTTAACCCTGGTTCAGGGTTGCCATGGACAGGGAAAACTCGGGGAAAAACGAAAATTGTTCAAGGTCAGGGAAAAGGCAGGGAATTTTTTAAAAAGTCAGGTCAGGGAAAATCTTTGATGTTGTCAAAGTCAGTGAAAAGTCAGGGGATTCTGTTTTCCTGTTTATAGTTCATAAGTTTTCTGCAAGCCTTTGAAATGCATTTGCTTTTGGAAAAGATAAAAAGTAGGCTGTAAAGCAAGCAAAGCGATCAATTTGACATGTTACGCCTCGCACATGTAGTAATTGTGGTTTGTTGTTTGCGTCGTGAATGCTTTCTTCCAAATTCCTTCTTCCTCTGTCCATGAAAAGTTCATAAATGGAACTGGTTGATGTAAAAGCTTATTTGCATTTTTTCACGTCTAGGGTTTATTTGTGCTCTAGTGATTCAATTAACATTCTGTGAGTGTATTAAAAGAAAAACAAGGGCCTGAATATCTGCCAGGCTTGATGTTCTAACAGAACAGAACAGAACATGTTATATAACATGTGTCACGTTATGTTATATAACATGTGTCATGTCATGTTATATAACATAAGTCACGTTATGTTATATAACATGTGTCATGTCATGTTATATAACATGTGTCATGTCATGTTATGTTTTATAAAATAACTGAGACAGTACGCGTGATCTGATTGGTCAAAAACCTATGGTTTATTATACCGGTAAACCCATAGAAAAAGGCATCCGTACCACGAGCCATAAACAAAACCGGCTATTGATCTGCAAACAACGATTTTAGAAAGGCTAAAAAACAGAACAAGTTACTTACCCAGCCCTTCTTAATATTAAAAGCGTTGGTTTCCACATTTTATTACTGAGCGTCACAATTCGCTACTGCTATAGCTTTGGAAGTTATAAAGTACAAAGCTGAAAAACAGTTTACATTTCACGACGATGCCAAATCGCAGACAAAGACCACAACTGTGTGAATTTCTGGTGTAGAAAGTCTCTAGGAAAACTTAACGATGTGCCAACAAGCAACAAAACGGATAGTTTTAGCATTCTTGATTTATTTTATCTCAAACTTAAATTTCTTAATGAAAGAAATTGTTCCAAAAAGAGATCTCTGATCAAGATATGGTACAAAATCGGCCGCTGTAGGTTGTAAACAAGCTGCCAACGATGATGAAAGATGTCAGAGTTTCGGGCTGGTTTTTTCCAACATTTGCACAAATTATTCGGTGATATCGATGCCATAACCTACCTCAAACCACCTCACTTCACGAATCGACAAATATTAACGCCAATATGTGGCTACGGCAAAGAAACCTTTCTCCACCACTGACATATTTCCATCGGTCGCTGTACGTGCATATAAAGTTACATGCGACAACTTCGCAAATGCAGCCACGTCGTTACCGCAGCATTTCTTGATCATAATAAAGTCCAGAAAACAGATCTTAAACCACTGCGGCTTGTTGAAAGTGAATGAAGTCCTCTATTACAATAGCTGCCAGTTCCGTCTGTATCAACGAAATTCTTACGGATCGACTCAACAAAATACAGCTGCGTACAGTCTGATGTTCAATTAATTCCTACTTCTGTAGTAAACAAACCATGAACGTATTCTTTCATTGTACGTTCGCATGAATATGTGTTGACTTTTCCTGTAAAACAGCTTTCATAAGTTATCATGTAATGAGTGCAAAAACTCGTGCTTTGAAGTGCTGCTGTTTGTTGTTTGACTGAACTGAGTTTTGAGAAAGTTCAACGCTATTAAATCGTGAGTCATGATTGGCTTATGATGACTTTAGAGAGAAGACGTGATTTGATCACGGTACTAGAACCTTTTTTTTTACCTAAAATACTCCATTCTGCTAAAAGTTATTTTATAAAAGCAATAGACCACACTTTCTATGGGTTTACCGGCGTGATAACCCACTTGGAATGTTGGGAGAACACTCGAAAAGCTTGTAAATCACTCGCCTTCGGCTCGTGATTTACAGGCTTTTCTTGTGTTCTCCCAACATCCCGCGTGGGTTATCACGCCGGTAAACCCATAGAAAGTGTAGTCTATTGCTTAAATAACATATGTCATGTCATGTTATATAACATGTGTCATGTCATGTTATGTTATAACATGTCATGACATGTTATTAACAAATAGATTCCATGTTGCCGTGCGTCTGTTCAGTAATAGATCACAGATGACGTCAAAATGTTGTACAAACAAAGAAGTGGCACACGAGCCGTAGGCGAGTGTGTCTTTGTTGTTTTTACATGTTATATACATGTGTCATGTCATGTTATATTATATAACATATGTCATGTCATGTTATATAACATGTGTCATGCCATGTTATATAACATATGTCATGTCATGTTATATAACATGTGTCACGTCATCTTATGTTATAACATGTCATGTTATGTTATATAATATAACATGACATATGTTATGTTATATAACATGTGTCATGTGATGTTATATAACATATGTCGTGTAATGTTATGTTATATAACATATGCCATGTTATATAACATGTGTCATGTTACGTTATATAACATATGTCATGTCATGTTATATAACATGTGTCACGTTATGTTATATAACATGTGTCATGTTATGTTATATAACATATGTTATGTTGACATGACACGTTATATAACATGTTCTGTTCTGTTAGAACATCAAGCCTGGCGCATATTGAGGCTATTGTTATGTTATATAACATGTGTCGTGCTATGTTATATAACGTGTTGTGTTATGTTATATAACATGTGTCATGTTATATAACATATGTTATGTTATATAACATATGTTATGTTGACATGACACATGTTATATAACATGTTCTGTTCTGTTAGAACATCAAGCCTGGCGCATATTGAGGCTCTTGTTATGTTATATAACATGTGTCATGTTATGTTATATAACATATGTTATGTTATATAACATAAAATATGTTATGTTACGACATCTAAATTGTATTTCATTTCAATGCAATTGTGAACATTCCGTTTTATTTGCTTTGGGCGAAAAATATAAAAATGACACATGTTATATAACATAACATGACACATGTTATATAACATGTTCTGTTCTCTTCTGTTCGAACATCAAGCCTGGCAGATATTCAGGCTCTTGTTTTTCTTTTAATACACTCACAGAATGTTAATTGAATTAACATGTGTCAGGTTATGTTATATAACATGTGTCATGTCATGTTATGTTATATAACATAGGTGATGTCATGTTATGTTATATAACATGTTATGTTATGTTATATAACATAAAATATGTTATTTTATGACATCTAAATTGTATTGCATTTCAATGCAATTGTGAACATTCCGTTTTATTTTCTTTGGGTGAGAAATATAAAACTGCACTTATTTATTAAGCAGATCATAAACTTCTCAGTTGAAGAAACCCTCTTTATTTGAACCATGTGATAGATTCTATTTTTCGTAGCTGTGGAAACGTGTTGTATTTATTTAGGCTCTCGCCCATACAAAGAAGATTATCAGGTATCAAGAATAAGTTATAAACGGTGTCAAGGGCATTTACCCAGCGCTCTTGCAAAGTTTTCCAGTGTTTCAACATTGAAGATTTTCAGAGTCGTATCATCGAATGAACTTCATGGGAAAGTAGCCAGGCCACTAAGCGCAGTTTAATCACCTATTTGCCTTTTGAAGGCAACCTCATGTGAGGGACTTAATGTTTCAATTTAGATTATTGAAATGTTTTCCACAGCAAAGAAAGTTTGCTAAAAACGCACAGTATATAAGAGCTGGGACAGCAGTGGAGTAAGGGGGCAGCGGCACGAGGGAAAGAGGGCGTTCCCCATCACATACTAAAGCTTGTTCAGCCACCCCCGTTAACTTTGTGAGCCTGAATTACTCTCAACAGCAATTTGTTCTAAGTTCCGGAAAAGTCATTCTCAGGCTATTCAAAGACATTCACAAGTCGATTTCTTGGAGTGCAAAGAAGAGACAACTTACAGGTAATATTATTATTAGGCCAAGATGGTTCGTTTCTCACTGTGCCCGAAAATCACACTTAGAAAAAAAAAGACGAGCAAAAAAGGAAAATAATATAAGCTTAAAATGACGTATTGACACTTCACATTTGTACTGTTCAGCTGTTCTTGAATCATAGTTTATCAATTTCAGATATCTCCTCTTAAGAAGTAAAATATTTAAATTGAGACATTTTCAACAGCAGCGACAGTTTGGATAGGGAATACCCCTAGTGCCTAGAGCAGGCTAAGAAGACCTCTGAGACTTCCTGCTTAATATTCTATAATTAAAAAAAAAAGATAAAAAAAAATATTGTAAATGCGAAATGATTTTCCACAAATAACAAAAGAAAAGGGTTGCGAATTCCGCATTCCGGATTACAGATCCCATGCGTTCCACAAACCCTACAAAAACATGGCCGACAGTGACTAAACTCACGTTCACCGCCTTCTCTCTCTCTCTGGGATGACTTGGGATAACAAGGGATGACAAGGGATGACAAGGGATGTCTAGGATGACTAGGGATGAACGCAATGACTAACGATGACTGGGATGACTAGGGATGACTAGGCATCACTAGGGATTACTACAGATGAGAACGGATGACTAGGGATTTGTTGGAATGACTGGGATGACTACGGATGACTGGGATGACTAGAGATGAGTAGGGATGTCTGGGATGACTAGGTATGACTAGGGATGACTGGGATGACTTGGGATAACAAGGGATGACTAGGGATGTCTAGGATGACTAGGTATGAACGCAATG